GTCTTCCAAGAGCACAGACCCTCTATGACATGACAGCAGAAACATACAGCCCAGAGGAGTGACAGGCTGTTTTTGGCCCCACCAACAATGGGAAGAAAGCCACTGAGCCAGTTCACTTTTTACCAGAGAGGGACTGTGGCATTTCCAAGAAGAGTCAACACCAAGGTCTGAGGCATGATTATCATTGGGCTCCATACCTAGTGCCATACCTATCCCCATTTCAAAATCAGGCACATCTATGAAGGTTATCAACACCACCATGGAATAAAGAAAAGCCCCCAGAGAGGGATGCCATCTGTTACCATTTAGATGACATGTCTTCCAAAAAAGATCATAAGTTGGCAAGAGGAACTCAAGGTAATCGAACATTTTGGAGTTAGATTCATAGAACTCTAAGAGTCACAGCTAAAAAGTTTTCAAAGTTGGTCTGAGAAACCCTTAAATTTTCAGAGACCTACATGCATGGAAGGGAATTGCCAAGGTTGCCTGGAGAGCCAGTGGCATGGCCAGGACTCAACCTTAGCCTACCTCAGTGTGCTTTTTCCAGAACACCCCGCTGCATCGATCATGACCTCTCCCAAACTCATTTGGCCTGACTACCCTAAAAGCAGCATCTGTGTTTCAATACATTATAGTAAACTCAATTTTTTTTGTGTGTGTATTATAGATGCTAAAACATTTGCTGAAATCTGGAAGAGATATTTGTGCATTTATGTTCATAGAAACATCATTTTTACAATAGATAAAGACGGAATCAGCCCAAATTCATTCATTAGCAGATGAATGGATATTTCATTGTATTAAACATTATTAAGTGATATTGGACTGGCCAGAAAGTTTATTCGTTTTTTGGTTTTTGGAAAATGGACCTAGTAGCACTTAGTTGTCTTTAATTTCATTGTAAACAGCTTGGTTAGATTGTATTGTGACAGCTTTCATGTCAGCATGCACTTAAAAAACAACTCTCAAAATTGGTGAATTTTTGTGTAGACATTTTAATATTGAAGATGGAAGAAAATACATAACATTTTCAGCATATTATGCTTTATTACTTCAAGAAAGGTAAAAACTCAACTGAAATGCAGAAAAATTTGTGCAGTGTATGGCGAGGGTGCGGTAACTGATTGAATGTGTCAAAAGTGGTTTGTGATGTTTCATGCTGGAGATTTCTCATTGGACTATGCTCTACAATGAGGTAGACCAGTTGAAGTTGATAGCGATCGAATCAAGGCATTAATTGAGAAAAATCAACATATACTACACAGGAGATAGCCAACACACTCAAAATATCCAAATCAATCAAGTTATTGGTGAAAATAAAAAATGCATCTTTTATTTTACAGAAAAAACTAAACGGACTTTTTGGCTGACTCAGTATTCACCCTCAAATATGCAATATTCTTTAGCCTTTAAAAGGAAGGAAATTCTGCAATATGCTACAACATGGATGAACCTTGAGGTCGTTATGCTAAGTGAAATAAGTCAGTCAGAAAAAAATGTACCATATACTATGTGATTCAACATATATCAGGTACTTAGAGTAGTCAAAATCATAGAGACAGAAAGTAGAATGGTGGTTGCCAGGGATGGTGGGGAGAGGAGAATGGGAATTATGTTTAATGGGTACAGTTAAATTTTACAAGATGAAAAGAGTTAATGGATAATGGTGATGGTCACACGTTATGAATATATTTAATACCACTGACCTGTACCTTTGAAAGTGGTTAAAATGTTAAATTTTATGCTCTATATTATGCATATTTTTCCACAATAAAAAAATGGGAAAAAGTGAAAGGTGGGGTTTAAATCATAAAAATTCATTTTTTAAATAATTTTTTTATTCAAAGCCAAATCTAACTTTCAAGTTGATGCCCAAAAAGCTATTTTCTTTAATAAACTGGACTTGTTTTCTCTGATTTATTGTGTGTATGGCAAGTTTTCTGATACATGTTATGTAATTACAGTTATTCACTATTTGAAATAATGACTTATTGAATAATGAATGCCTTTGGCAGTTTATACTTATGTAGTAGTATATTAGTTTTCTATTGCTGCATAGCATATTACCACAAACTTAGAGGCATGAAACAATACCCAATTATGAACTCAGTGGTAGATATCAGATCTGTACAATAGAATTTACTTTGTACTCAGGTAAGCTTTCTGTTTAAGATTTCACAAGGCTGAAATCAAAGGTTTTGGCTGGACTGGGCCCTTTCCTGAAGACTGGGGAAGGATTTGCTTCTGGGCTGCCTCCAGTTGTTGGCAGAACTCAGTCCCTTGCAGTTGTAGGTCTGATGTCCACATTTCCTGGCTGACTGTTGGCTAAGTGCTCCTAGAATTTTCCTGCAGTCCTTCTCACACAGCCTCTCCATCTTCAAAGCAGCAGTGGCGTATCAGGTTCTTCTCACCCTTTGAATCAGACTTGCTCTTCTACTCCCAATTGAAGATTATGATTGTCTTTTAAAGGGCTGACTCACTTGATTGTCTCAGACTCAGCTCAATTGTCTCTGAATCTTATTAAGACCAGTTGACTTGGGACTTAAATTAAATTGGAATCCCTTCCCACCCTCACTGAGATAAGTGTTTGATTGAGTAACCAGGGCGAGGGAGTGTTAGGAGGCCATCTTTAGAATTCCCTCTACCATGAGTAGTATTTGATCCACAAGAAGGTTTTTAAGGCATGATGTAAAATACACTGGGCTAAGATTCTGAAGGTCTTGTGTTCTGTTTGACCATTTAGTAACTTTGACCCTGGACTGCAAGCTTCTTGAGACCAGGAACCATGTCTTACTCATCTTTATAGCCCCAGTACCTGGTAGAATGTCTGGTGTGTAGCAGGAACTCAGAACATACTAATTTAAATAGAGTCACATTGAGGTAATTTTATCTCTCTGTGTCTTTTTTAATTTTCATTTTCATCAAGACTCCTTCTGAACTAATACTGAGGCTGTTAAATGCATGTGTAAATCCACGAAAATCCTAAACTATTACTATAGAAACAATGTACAAAATCCCCATTTCATAGACTTTTTTTTAAGTGAAATCTCAGTAAGCAGAAGTAGGACATAGATCTTCTGCCATGCTAGGTGTCTAACCTTTAGTAACCTTTTTATATAGTGCTTTAGTTTTTAACAAAGACCTTTAATTTACACTGCCATTGAGCCTTTTTAAGAAACTTGAGAATACAAATAGTATGAACTTTCATATAAGGTAGAATAAACTGAAATCACTTGATAAGGGTTACCTATTAGTAAGAAGCAAAGCCAGAAATTTAAATCCAGCTCTGCATATGAATACAGTTTTTACTTGTCAGTTAATCATGTCTTTTATTTTAAAAAATATGTAATAGAACGTTTTGTACCCTTGATACTTAGAATTTTAAGGAATTAAAGCAGAGAAACAAAGTTAAGTCACAAACTTTTTTCCTTTCTGCCTTTGTGCTTAGATTCATCTATTAATTTTCTCCCACTTTTTCTTCAAGTCTTCACTCTATATAACATAACTTCTTTTAATTCTATTTTTGGATATAAGTAACTCTTAGAAATTTTCTTGAATTAGAGAGTGAATAGAAACAGAAGACAATCCCAACATGAAGAAACTCTTAGGCAGCATTGCCATGGGTATATGTATATGTGTGTGTGTGTGTGCGCGCGTGCGTGCCATTTTCTTTATAAGAAACGGAAAGTCATTTTTTTATTTCCATTTTTGTGTTTGTTAATTGCTAATCTGTATGTATTATGGCTAACCTAAAGTCAAAATCCCAAAAATAAAATGCTTCTTATCTTGGGAACCTTGGGCTCAAAATGGAAGACAGGGCACACTAGTACTGCAGATTCTCATTTCTGTTGGTTCTACAAGGAAGGCTCTTTTGGATGTTAGAATGACATGATGACTTTTTTCCATATATGAAACATACTAATCTACATATTAAGGATATTTTAAATCTGTTTTATGTTTGGTACCAAACTGGCCTTCTGACTTTAATGAGTATAAATGGTAGGTACCTGGACCTTGTACTATTTGAGGTTGGGGCTAACGAGGTAGACTGGAAGGAGATTATAGAAAGAAAGCATGTTTAAAACCTATCTGGCTCCGGTTCACAGGCAGTTTCAGCTGCTTTCCTAAACCAAAGCCCAGCATCACAAACTAGAGCTAGTTGCCTCAGTGGGTTCCCCAATATGTGATTGGTGATTTGACAATCGTGCTAAACATATGTACGGAACTTTGACCTCTTTTCCTTTTATCTGCTTCATTGCCTTCCTCTAAGCCAGGCAAACAAGATTCTGTGACTAAACTGGTGGTGTATTTCAGACAATGTTGAAAAGGCTTAGTAGACAGGTGGTTGTACTCTGACTCAGCGTGCATTTGCAGCATTCTCCTTAGCAAGTTTGGAACTTAGCTGTGAGCACAGCTACTAAAATTCCTCAGGATATTTGTGGGTTTTTTCCCTCCTAACTTTGTGTAAAGTGTAATATGTTATAAAATACTGAAGAAGTATATTTTACTTTGCTGGTACCTAAGAAGTTACCTTATAAGTTTCATTTAGCTCAATTAACAAATTGTGATCATTTGCTCACTTACAGAAAATGCCAATTCACAGGATTTTATAGTCTTCTGCAGTTGTCCTTTTGGGAGGAATCAATACTTTTTACTTGAAACCAACTTTGACTTCTTCATTTTCTTACTCATCTTTATAGCCCCAGTACCTGGTAGAATGTCTGGTGTGTAGCAGGAACTCAGAACATACTAATTTAAATAGAGTCACATTGAGGTAATTTTATCTCTCTGTGTCTTTTTTAATCTTCATTTTCATCAAGACTCCTTCTGAACTAATACTGAGGCTGTTAAATGCATGTGAAAATCCTAAACTATTACTATAGAAACAGTGTACAAAATTCTTTGTGCAGTTAGTTTCTCTGTGGTTTAGGATTATGAATAAAGAAGAAAACTTTCTGTTTCAGTATGAAATTTAATACAAATCTTTCTTGTATATTCAGCGGCCATTGCAGTCATTTGGACAGACAGGAAAAAGGTCTAAGGTATAGTAAATATTTTGTGCTGGCATGCCAAGGGCCGTCCTTCATGCTTGATGAATCCTTGTTTTCATATAGCACTGCATTCAGTTTAGTTTCGTCATATTTTGTTTGGGGCAGAAAGCTTATTTTGTTTTATTTGGGGTTTTTGTCTTGCCTAGTCGCTTTTGTACATTGCTTTTATATCTTTTATGGTTCTTTATCTATGGAGAAAATGGCTTTCTCACCATCTTTTGGGTTTTGAAATTGGAATTATTTCCATTCTTACTATGGCTATAATTTTCAAAACTGCAATTGTTTTCCCTCTTAACAAAGGGTTTTAGGGGTGATTAATGATATATTTAACTTCTGCATTTCACCTATGCCTATACATGGAGAAACTTTATAAAGACTTAAGAAACTCTAGGGGGCTTTTGGATATACACCCTAGCTTTGTTAAATGTAGTGTTAATTTTAAATACTTTTCTTTAGTCAAGCTCAAAGTTAAAGCTAGTTCGGAGCCTTGCAGTGTGTGAAGAATCTCCACCACCCCCTACAGCAGAGCTATCACAGGAGAACCAGGTAAAAAAAAAAAAGAATTATTTAAAGACATGGTGGAATAACCTGCCTCCTGGAGAATATTTTTTCATAAGGTTAAATAAAAGCTGTGTGTGCATGTTGGTGTGTTATGTGTGTTTTTACTAAGAGAATTAATTTGATAATACTTGCACCCAAGAGACACATGAAAAGTGGGGAAAACCTTGTTATATCAATCTAAGATTTGGTACAGTTTCTCTCTGGAAAAACTTAGGGATAATATAATTAACCAGACATAAGGCTTTAGGGGAGTTGTAAGTTATTTTGGTAAAGTAGTAAATAAGTACTTTCATTTAATGTAATTCTGATGAAATTTGCTCTTTTAAATTTGGCCATTATAAATTTGTTAGATATTGTTGTGTGTGAAGAGGAGACTACTCAAGACTTATGCTTAATATATTATTTTACTTAACTTGAATGCATGGTGAAGCCAATTCTCATATTAGCTTGACTCTAATGTTTGTCTACAACTTCTAATTCCTTTTCTGCCTGTGCTTGTAAAATACAGAACTACTGAAGTTCAAGCAAATAGCTTAGTTTGCCTTTTGTATTTTTAATGCTGTGACTACTTTTTTGTTAATCTGAACTGTGGGTTGATCTTTGCTTTATGTTATATTTGGACATTTTATACCAAACATTTTTGGATCCTTTACCAATGTGTGTCAGTAGTAACTTTGGCTGTTAGTGGCTTGTTCTACCTTTTATGAGTTTAAGTAGTGTAAAGTTTCATATATATCCCAACATTAGTTTCCAAAGTATTGAGACAACTTTTTGGTTGTTTAAGAAGTTATGACTAAGGAGGGGGGTAGGCCATGAGTAAGTTGTATATCTTTTTATTTTTTAAATGCAATTGTACATTTGTTGATTCAAGCAAAAACTTAGGCTTTGCCTTGATTTAGAACATGATGCCCTCAAAAGCCTACTCTACATACTGAAGATAGTTGTCACATATTTAGAATATGGTCTCTTTTTTAAAAGCACTACACTTCTTTGTTTTCAAAATGCAAGAAAAGGAAGGTTTTTAAAATAGGTTATTTATTGACAATAAAAAATACTTAAAAATCAGATTCTTTAAAAAATTTTTATTTATTGATTTTATAGAGGGTGAGAAACATCAAGTTTTTTGTTCCACTTATTAATGCATTCACTGGTTTCTTCTATGTGCCCTGACTGGGGGTTGCACCCACAATCTTGTTATATTGGGATGATGCTGTAACCAACTGAACTACCTTTTCAGATGTGTTCAAGTGTCAAAAACATAGGAGTCAAAATTTATTTGTAATTTTAATTTAAAATTTAACTACAGAGAGCTATATGTATTCATTCTATAAAATAGATATTTTTAGCAATAAAGTAAGACTTTCTAGAAAAAGTAGAAATACAGTCAAATATTTGAATAAGAACACTTGCCTTGAGAGTATTTTCAAATGTTAAATTTGACTTCTGCATGGTTGTTGATGAGGCTGAAGAGTTATAATATACTCTGAAAAAGATAAAATTGTTTTTGAAATAGCAATTTTAATAAGTTTTTTTGTACAAACGATCATAAAGAATACACATGTTCAGAGTGGAGCAGTGGGCAATATAATGTTTTTTAAAATTTTATTTCTTCATTTTTTTTGTCCAAAATGTTACACCATCTTAGCATTTTGGAATAATCAGTCTAAGGAGATTAAGAAAATGAAATTCATAAGACCATCAATACAAGAAAACACATTCTTTCTGAGAAAAACCGTAATGTGGTTCTTTTCAATATATTTCATATATTTGAAAAATATTGGGGAGAAATTCTTACAGTGCTGTATGAGTTAGCTATTAAAAATTTGTATGAGAAAAATATTAAGAGTATATACTATTGATTGCAGATAATTTTTGCTTTTATAGTTCAAAAAACTCTTACAGGACATAAATAATGAATAAGGTTGTTATACCAGAATTCAGTTATTCCACTTAATATATTCATTCTCAGTTTTTCTTGGATGCAGTAATTTTTTTCTTTTGAAATAATAACCTATTTTTACCCTTACCGAACAAAAGATACTCTTTTTGCCAAGTCTTGAGTTAACTAAATGGCACCTGAATGGGAATAGAAAAATAAATTATTTTTCATGAAATGTGCTATTATCTTTCATGCTAGAGACACTTTCCAATTAATAATGCTTGCTTCAGAATGTGATTTTTGAAGAATTAATTTGAGTAAAACTCATTATTCAAAAGGTTGAGAGGCAATTAATGAGAGATGTTACTTGTGTCTGATCAGAGCTTATGAGAGGGAAGTGACCTCACTAACAAATGTCAATGACAGTGAAGGGTAAAGGAATTACAGCTTCCTATGGAGATGTTGCTTATTTATAGTCAGAAGAGTTTGTGTATAAGGACTTAAGCATTTAAAATGTGCCTTGTTTATGTGCTAATGAAAGCAAGGTCTCAGTATCAACTGAAGACAGGTCTCAGTACATAAGTGTTGTCTGTTAGATTTTAAATACAGTTCCTATTGATAAAATAGTTTAATATTTATAATTATAATGTACAGCTTTAGGAGGACAATTTAGAAATAAAATCTGATAGTCATTGAAACTGCCTTTTGTGATGGTCTAATGTGAAATCTTCCAACTTGAATTTCTTAGATTATCCTTGAATAACAGGAACAGAAGCTGTAAGTCAGGAAAACTTTGAGTATTTTGCTTCCAGTACATAGTTCTGGGATTCATTTTTAAATATCTGTGTTACGATAATTTAAAAGTAAGGAAAGTAGATTAGAAAATAAGTCATAGTACAACATGGATGGATCTTGACAGTACTATGCTAAATGAAATAAGTCAGATGGAAAAGGACAAAAACCATATGACTTCACAAAAAAAGCAAAAAATGTGTAAATAAACTCATAGATACAGTAAACAGTGGTGGTTACCAGGGGGTAATAAAATAAGGACAAAGAGGGTGAATGGGGATCAATTACATAGTGACTAAAGGAGACTAGATTTCCGACGATGAGCACACAATAGAATATTCAGACATATTATAAAGTTGTACACAGTGTTACTTCTGATAAATTTAATTCTTAAAAAAAAAATTAGTCATAATGAGAAAAATGACTTACCAGTTGATGAATGTATGAAGTTTGGCAAGCAAGACAAAAGAGGTCATAAAGCAAATGTTCATCATTTCAGTGAAAATTGCCAGTGCACAGTTTGTGCTCTATATTTTCAGCACAAATTTGAGCTTTGGTGGAAAGGGAAGCAGAATTGAAGAGATGAAAACAGCAGTAAGCAACCCTACAGGAAAATATTATATTTGATCTGATTTCTCTGCCAAATATTATTTTAAAAATTTTATGTGGGGGATGGGGAATGTTTAGAATAGAAATCTTATTGACCATAAGTTTAAGAATCCTGAAATTTATATCCTCTTTAATATCGATTTACTGCATTTACAGCCATCTCTGAGAGAAGCAAAGTACTGCAGTTGTCTGATGTTTTTCATCACGCAGAACAACAGTATAATTTAGTCTATAACTAAGTTGCACCTTTATCTTTAGTAGAAATGGTCTGAAAGTTATTCTACCTTTATTACTTTTACCTTTCTTTAAAGTTATGTGATTTTTACCATTTTTAGTCAACATGAATTAATTTTTCATAATTTCTTTGGGTTCTGAAATTGCATGTAATATCATTGTTTTAAAAATGAAATGTAGAATTGGTTCTTCTTTTCAGTCTTACACAGTATGGTTACTTTACAATGAACGATTTCCGTAGCAGACAGGAAAACAATCTTGTTTGAAATCTTTCTGAACTTTTTCATGATTGAAGGAAGAACAATGTTATATAAATCTCAAATAGGAAATAAAGTCATGTAAATTTGGTTTTGGAAAATTTGTACTTCAGAGTTTTTTTACATCTCAAAAGAATGAAGGAATATGAGATAATAGTGAATACGCAAAGAGTACTTTTATTAAGTGTTGACTTGACACTTTTGCATTCCTATTGTCATGATTGATGGTAATTATCTTTTGCATAGCATTTCCATTGCAAAAATGGGTATCACCTCCCCACTTGCTTTGTCATTGCATGTGTGCTGTCACTATGCACACTCCTTCTGAACCATTTGAGTGTAATTCTGCTGTAAAGACAACTTTCCATTTTTCTTTGTGTTAAAAAAAGTACATTAAGAAGACCTTGGTTCTAATTCTCTAGGGGTTTTGCAAGTAGATGCTTTTAAACTGTTACAGAAAACATTTATTTTCTCTAAAATAATTGTCAGGATATGTTTTAGTTAATATAGTCAATGTTTTACCATTTGCTATCTGGATTTTAATAAAATGGTAAAAAATAATTTTAAGTTATATTCTGCTTTGGAGAATCTAATTGGATACAATAATCTTTTTTCTTCTTCATACACTTTTGTGTTACTCAGAAATTACAAATGTGTGGTATTAACTGAATTGCTTTATGTTTTTATTTAATAACTGATTTTATCATCCAACAGGAGAAAATTCAGACCCAGTTAACACAATCACTTGAAAAAGAGGAGAAGCCCTCAAAAGATGAAGCAGAAAAAGAAAAAGCCAGTGATAAGTTGCCCAGAAAAATGTTATCAAGAGGTCTGTAATTTTTTAAAAATTTTTGTGTCATTGTTCATAATTCCATCCTTTTACCCCTCAAGTAATTACATGTATGATACCTGTATTAAATTATACAGAACAGCCTGCAGGGATAACATATTTGCCCATTTGGGCAAAATGGAATAATACGGTTCTGAACAACCAGTAAGATATTCATTTGGCCAAAAAGTTCATTAGGTCTTTTCTATAAGATGGCTGTAGTAGTGCTTAATTGTCTTTAACTTCATTCAAAACAATTTTGTTAGAGTGTATTGTTGCAGCTGTCATATTGGTGTGCATTTAAAAACTTATCAAAATCGGTGAATTTTTGTGTAGTCATTTTAATATTGAAGATGAAAGAAAACAATATTTTCAGCATATTATGCTTTATTATTTCAAGAAGGCTAAAAACAACTGAAATGCAAAAACAGATTTGTGCAGTGTATGGAGAAGGTGCTGTGACTGATCAAGGATGTCAAAAGTGATTAGCAAAGTTTTGTGCTGGAGATTTCTCAATGGACAATGCTCCATAGTTAGGTAGGCAAGTTGAAGTTGATAGCAATCAAATGGAGATGCTAATTAAGAATAGTCAACAATGTGGCAGATAGCCAACATACTCAAAATATTCAAATCAATAAAGTTATTGGTGAAAATGGAAAATGTGTTTTATTTTACAGAAAAAACCATACAGTTTTTGGCCAACTCAATACTTTAGTGAAAAAAAGTGCAATACATTTCAGAGTCACTGAGGAAGATAAGTTTATTTTATTTCTTATCGCTCTGTCTCTCATACTGAATTAATGGAATCACTATAGTTTGAATACTGATTCCACTAAAAATAATACTATTTAATTCCTTATAGTACAACGAGCTAATAGCTAAATATTCAGGATTCAGTAAGAATATTCTTATAATCAAGAATATGTCATAATAAATTTTATGGAGCTTAGACCATCATCTAGCATTGCATGTCTATAAAAGTGCTTTTTTAATTTATAAATTCAGTTATGCTGATCAGTGTTATAAACAGCATTAGGATATACATTTAAGAGGAAGAAATAAACATGAATTTTTGAAAAAAGATTAAAGTAATATTCCCTGAGAACTAAAATTCCTAATGATTTAGAATAAATTAAAATGGTGCATTTGAGAGAGAAACTTTTTAAAGAATATGCATATACATGTAGTTATATAAACCTACATCTGCTTATTATATGGGAATAGAAAAATTTGTGGTCATCTGAGTTCATCATAATTTTTTTCCTACTTCATTAATGTTTTTCAATTTGTGGCATCTTGTTTTATTAAGATATGTATCATGTAAAAGAGAAAGGGATTTATTTTCAAACACAAACTGCCTTTTTGTGTTTTTTAGATTCTAGTCAAGAATACACTGATTCAACTGGCATAGATCTACATGAATTTTTAGTAACTACATTAAAAAACAATCCCAGGTAAACATTGAATGTATAAGGTTTAAATTGCTTCTAGAGTAGTATAATTTGCTATTTATACTTCCATTATCGTGTTAGAATATTAGAATAAGATTGTAATATTTAAAGTATACCAGAAATATTTTAGATTCCTAGAGCTAAGATGTTGCTGGTCTGCTATGTGCACATATGTGTATCTTTTTGCATTATGTATGTCACCATGATCTACAAACAATTCATACTTTCTGTAGGAATTTTCAGAAATACAGAATTACCAAGAAATTTTGTCTCAACTAGAATACAGAGGTAACAATCATAAAAAAAAAGAAAAAAATTCTCATGATAATGGCACTCAATTGAATAAGAACTCAGTGTTTTTGTTTATAATAAGTTTTTGTACTTAAACACAGAATATTTGTTCTTTTTTTTATTAGTTTTAAACCTTCAACCCAAAGATTTTTAAGGTGCTTATTTGAGTCTACTTTACTAATTGTGAAATCCTTTGTTTTACCAGGATACTGAATAAATAGATTTTATCTTTTGGCAGGTCATTGACCCCTTTGAGGCATTTCCCCACAAAAAGCCTTATCTATAAAATATCTCACCAATGCTTTTATGAGATAGAAGACTCTTAGGTTAAAAATCAATTCTCTAAATGTTAGCTTCCCAGAGTGGTAGTTATTTTACATACTTGAAATAAAATTTAAATCATTTTATTGGCTTTGTGCACATGGAATAAACATGAACAACTTTCTTCAACTCTCTAGCTTTGCTGAAACTTATGTCATGCTTCAAGATAAACCTTTTATTTAGGGTTTATTGTGTTGAGTACTATCTTGATTTTCTAGTTTACATTTAACATAAACCTCAAAGAGAGAACTACCAAAATGAAAAGTAGTCTCCTAATATTATGGATTGAAGAAGTATAGGTATAAAGTGAGGAAGAAGCTAGTCAACTTTGCCCAACTTTTTTGTTTTAAATTCAAACTTAGTCGTTAGTCCCAAAAGAAAGATGAATTCATTAGTTCATTGAATATCTTCTTGAGCATCTATCATGTGCTAACCATCGTGCTAAAAATTGTAGATATTAAGATGGGCAAAATATAATCTCTGACCCCAAATTATTCACCGTCTCTCTGTTAGGACAAAAACAAAACAAAACACATGAAATATAATACAAATAGAAAAGATGTTGTAAAAGAAGTTTTTCAAGGTGCTATAAAAACACAGGTTGATAGCTCCAGTCTCTGTTCAGAAGGATATGGGAAGGCTTCACTGAGAAGATAATGCCTGAGCTGAGTCTTGAAATTAGTCCTTTGAAAAGAAACTGTCTTTACAGAGAAACATGAGAAAGCCATTCCAGATAGAGTTAAAGAGCAATGTAAGGCATAGATAGTATTGTTCAAGGGAAAGTAGTATATTCAAAGAAAGACACACTCAGGCTCTAGCAGGTATATGGCAAGTAATTCTAGAAAGTGATGGGGAAGGAGTTGGTGCAATGTGAAGACAAATCATATGTCTACTTGTTCTCAACCTTGGATAGTACCAACATGCTGGGTGGTGAGTCCTGGTGGCTGTAGAATGCTACTGGGAAGTCAGGTGCTAAAAAGAGCTGCAAGACAGTAATGAACAATGAAAAATAATCTTACTTGAAATGCCAGTAGTACGTCATTTGAGTGTGGCATACTAAGTTGAGGAATAATTACAGGATTTTGAATAGGGTAATGCCATAGTCAGATTTGTATTTTAGAAAGGTTATTTCAGCAGTGAGGGGCCAGTATCACAAGCAAGGATTACAGAGACGAGACCATAGAGAAAACTAGAGAGGAAAGGACACATAAGAAAGATGTTCAGGAAATACCATGGCAAGACTTGGTGATCATTTGGATATGGAATAGTATTGGAACAATAGAGTAGAACAGAGTAGCTATCAGGTTTCTGTCTGGGCTGACAGCTAGTCTCATTAACTGACAAAGTAAATAAGGGGCAAGCCTGAATGGAATAGGGCAAGTTATATTATAAACAAGTGTACTTTGAGTTTCTATTATAAATAAGTATAGTTTTCCCAAAGGAAAGCCAGGAGATGAGGTCTGTTGGCAGTTAAGAGGCTTGGGTTTTCAAGTAAATGAGCCAAGTTGTAGTTACAGATTCAGGAATCATCAGTAGAAGTGAAGCTTGCTATGAATGAGTTTGTCCAGAGAGATGAAATAAATGACAAAGACAAAATTCCATGGAAAGATAGTATATAAAAGGTAGATAAAAAGAAGGAGACTGAATGAGTCCTAAAGATAGCAGAAGAATCTTATGAACATTTGTCTTAAGAGTCAGCCGATGGAGAACAGTTTCATGGTTGATAAAAATACCAAATAGAAGTACCAAAAACAGTTCATTTAGACTGAGAAACTAGGAAGTTAGTAGCTGTTTTAATAAGCTGTTCATATGTAGTAAGATGATAGAAACCAGAACTCAGTGGTTTGAGGAAAATGGGGAAAGGTAGAAAATATATAACTAGTTTGAGTAAAACAAGATAGAATCCTAAATAGGCAGAATTTTCTTTCCTCTGAACCTATAGGACATACATCAGTAAGGACAAAGATTAGAAATACACTTTTATGCATTTAAAAATATTTTCCATTGTTCACTTCTGTATTTCTCTACAGATGGAAAAGTTTGTAAGTTACCTACATATTCATTTTTAAGTATATTTTATTGATTATGCTATTACAGTTGTCCCTTCCCCCCCCCCTTTTTTCCCCTCCTTTCTGCACTACCCTCCAGCATTTCCTCCCCCTGCCTTAGTTCATGTCCATGGTTCATACATGTAAGTTCTTTGGCTTCTCCATTTCCTATACTATTCTTAACCTCCTCTTGCCTATTTTGTGCCTACCATTTATGCTTCTTATTCTCTGTACCTTTTCACCTATTCTCACCCCACCCCATCACCACTGACAACCCTCCATGTGATCTCCTTCTCAATGATTCTGTTCCTGTTCTCTTGACTTGCTTAGTTTGTTTTTGTTTTTAGGTTTAGTTGTTGATAGTTGAGAGTTTGTTGTCGTTATAATGTTCATATTTTTTATCTTCTTTTTCTTAGGTAAGAGTCTTTAACATTTCATATAATAAGGGCTTGGTGGTGATGAACTCCTTTAACTTGACCTCATCTGGGAAGCATGATGACAGAGTAATCTTAGATATAGGTCCTGGCCTTTCATGACTTGAAATACTTTTTTCCAGTCCCTTCTTGCCTGTAAGGTTTCTTTTGAGAAATCAGCTAATGGCCTTATGGGAACTCCTTTGTGGATAATTGTCACCTTTCCTCATCTTTAATCTTGGGTAATTTGATTATGATATGACTTAGTATGTTCCTCCTTGGGTCCAATTTCTTTGGGACTCTCTGGGCTTCCTGGACTTCCTCAAAGTCTGTTTCTTTTGCCAGATTGGGGAAGTTTTTATTTGTTATTTGTTCAAATAAATTTTCAATTTCTTGCTCTTCCTCTTCTTCCTCTGACATCCCCATGATTCAGATATTGGAACGCTTAAAGTTGTCCCATAAGTTCCTATGCTTGTCATCTTTTTTGCATTCTTGTGTCTTCATTCTCTTCCAATTGGTTGCTTGTTTCTTCCTTCTGGTTCAAATTGTTGATTTGAGTCCCAGTTTCCTTCCCTTCACTGTTAGTTCCCTGTATATTTTCCTTTATTTTTCTTTCTGTACCTTTCATTTCTTTTTTCATTTTGTAACCATGCTCAATCAATTCTGTGAGCGTTCTGATTACCAGTGTTTTGAACTCCCCATCAGATAGGTTGTCTATGTCCTAATTGCTTAGATCTTTTTCTGGGGTTTTGATCTGTTTTTTCATCTGGGCCATATTTCTTTGTCTCCTTGCACTTGTTACGTGGTAAAGGGTGGAGCCTTAGGTATTCACCAGAGTGGGGCAACACTCTGCTGCGTTGTTTTGCTGTCTGTGGGGCAGGGGTCAGAGGGGGAACATTGCTGTGCTAGCTCCACTCTTATCCCACTTTCCTCATTTCTCCCACCACCACAACCCCCACAGATTTTTTTACATACAGAGGTTCTGAGTCTTTAGTTCCCCATGCCGAAACCCTGGGTTTCATTGTCTGTCTTGCTCCTCAGTTGTTCCTCCCAGCTCCTCTACACTCAAATGTGTGGTCATTCTCCCTGGTCCACCAGAGTCCTCTTCCTGCCAGCTGCCAGTAGACTGGTCTCAGCCCCTCCTACCAGTCTGGATGAATGTTTCTTTAACTCCTTGGTTAAAGGAGTTAAAGGTCCAACTCCTTGGTTGTTGGACCATGCAGATGATTTCCTGGTAGTTCTGGTGGTTGTTTTTAAATTAGTTGTTATCCCTCTTTTAGTTTTCACAAGGAAGCAAAGCGTTTCTGTTTACGCTTCCATCTTGTCCAGAACTCTGCATATGCATTTTTAAAGTGTGCAATTTAATGGGCATTACTACATTCGCCAGTATGTGCAAGCATCACTATAGTCAATTACAGAACGTTTTCATCACCCTAAAAAGAAATCCACACCATGTTACTATCATCTCCCTGTGTCCAGAGTGATAATAAAGTTTGTACATATTTCCTGTTTTGTATATTTCATATGAATGTTATTACGTGTTCTTTGTGAATGGCACCATTTCCTTAGCATATTTTTATGATTTATCCATGTTCTGGCATGTATCAGTAGTTGATTCTTCCTGTGTCTATGTTTTTATTTGAATAAATATATAGCGAATAATTGATGTAATGGCTAGCGTATAAGTTATTACTATCATCAGTGTGGATTAGGAAGTTGTAACTAATGTTAAATTTTGTGAGAAATAAGATTTGCTTAATTGATTTTTCAGTGTTCTCTCAAAAAAAACACACAATTAATTGCCAGATACACATAGCACAAAATTAGTAGTAAGTGTGGCAGATACCCACTAAAGCTTTCAAGAACAAATGTTGCTCTAAGAATATTTTCAATTTTTCTCTTCAGATCATTAAATTTTTACCTTGTCAGCCCAATGTATAAACTTCAGGTGTTAAATAATAATTTATTTGGAATTCCTGTTTGTAAAGAATATTTTCAGACACTACACTAACTAATCATTACTGAATTAGAATTTAGGGATTTAAAGTTGTCCTCCGTAGAGATTATATTCACTAACATGATTTTATACTATTTTTGTGTTGTTATACCCATTTTTATAAATTTCATATGTGTTAAATATGGATAATGAAGGTAACTGTATTATATTAGATTACTAATGAAGGGGAGCAAACTTATGGATTAATCCTGAGGATGGATTTTTTTAATAAGTTGTGTTCTGAGGAGTACCATATAATTGTCCTATGTTTGAAATACTTTGTAAAAATACTTTTATTGAGGTTAATACTTAAGTTATTTCTTATCTGTTGTAGATATTTGACCAAAGTCACATGGAGCATTGGGAAAGGGATGGTCAAATGGAAGCATTCTTTTCTCCTTTTTTATTTGCCCCTCGTATACCAACTGTACATACTTCCTCTAAACCAGATTCTAATGTAATGACTAGAACACTTATAACTAAAAGATTGCTGCCTTTTCATTTTAACTTTATGTAGTAGGCTACTGATTAGTTTGCTTGAGATCCTTCTTTTATTATTTCTTTAATACAAGACACCATATATTTGTTCCTTTCTTAAAAGTTTTTAATTACAGGTGACATACAATATGATATTCAATTCTGGTATATAACATAATGACAAGACATTTATAGAATACCATATTGGTTTCTTTTAAAGTTTATATAGTAACAGTTTCAATAAGTTGCCTACTTTTAGGTTCAAGTGCTAAACGTTATGCCTTAAGAAAAGTAATTTGTCCATCTTTAGTTGAGTCCTATGTGTGTTCTGTATTAATAGGTTATATTACATGTTATATACATCATAGATCATATGTATTATTAATATATCACCATATTAATTTTTGGCTTATGTTCATTACCAAAATATCTACCCTTGATTCTAGATTTGAAAATTTGGGAGCTTGGACTGAGCTATACTGGATTTGGCGGGAAGTGTCAGGGAAAGTTACTGACTTTTTATTTCTAACAAGTTCCTTTTTTTTTTATTTTTTGTAACTAAAGTTTAGGAAACCTAGAAGAAGAACTTCTCAGTAAATGGTTCAGATAAAAGAAAATCCTCTGAAACCCATAGATCTACATGCAAAAGAAAATAAAAGCCTGAATTTGTATCATTGGCTAGTAAAAGTGTTAAATTTGGGGAGTTTTGTTTATAGAGACAACAGAAATATTTTTCCAATGGCAGTACATTTACTAAAGAACACTTCACATATTTTATGCCTGCTCTTTAGTTCTGACATTGAAAGCCAATTTAAATTCACTGTTTATGAATGCTGAATAAGTTGCCTGCCTCAGATTCCTTTGTCCCCCTACAATAAGTGTATAAATTATATCAGGAAAATTACTGAAAATTACATCATCTCAAGACAAATTGACCCCTAAGTTAGGTGAAAAGAGAATCTTTTAGTTACTTAAGTCCTTTCAGGGGAAAAACTCTATGAAGTAAAAATTTCCTGTCCTCCCCCCCCAATTAAAGAAAAAATATTAAAAGACCTCTGGATCTAATAATTTCATTAATCCCATGCAAATAGTTTATTGAACTCCATTCTATATGGTCCAAATCACTGTGTAATGATAATTGTGATAAATGTTATTAAAGAAAAGTATGCAAGAAATAGAATCTAAGAAACAGTATAAGAAGTTGTTTTAGGCAGAGGAAACTGAGAAGGGAAGGGACGTGTAAGTGCAGAGATAAGCCAAGATAATGAGTTTTATGAGTAAGGGGCAGGAGATGAGGCTGAAGAAGTAGATAATGCTTGCCTGATAGGTCACATTGCAGATGTTCAATTCTTTTGTTTTTTTTTTTTTAATGAAAGTACTAGAAACTTTAAAAATATATATTTATTTATTTCTAGAGAGAGGGGAAGGGAAGGAGAAAGAGTAGGAGAGAGACATCAATGTGCAGTTGCCTCTCATGTGTCCCCTACTGGGGACCTGGCCCGTACAACCCAGGCATGTGCCTTGACTGGGAATCAAAACCAGCAACACTTGCTTCACAGGCCCATGCTCAATCCACTGAGCTACACCAGCCAGGGCCAATGCTAATTTAAGAAAATTGGGAAACCTGTGATAAATATTTAACTAAGGTAATGACATGTTCACATGTGTTTTTAAAAGATCATTATAGAAGATTTAGGTGGAATAGATTTGGAGGGAATAAGGGAAGATACGGAGAGACAATAAACTTTTTGTATTGTAGTTAAGCCACAGATCATGACTGCTAGGATCTAAGATACTGGCAGTGGAAAAAGGTAGTGAAAAGGAAAGGTAGTGAAAAAAGAAAAATAGGTAGAAGGTAGATAAAATGTGTAGTAGTAATTAACTATATATGAGGATTAGAAAAAAAGGATCATAACAGGCCAAGAATGCTTCTAGTACAATATTTTGGGTGAAAGGTGGTACCACTTACTGAGGCGAGGAATACTAAACAAGGAACAGATTTGGAGACAAAATTGAATGTTACTAGACTTTGTATTAAAAAGGTAGTCCTGTTTTCAGCTTTAGAGTTGAAATCACCACATTGGTATGTTTTCCTCTTGATTTTTCAGCTAACATTTTAAAATGTATGATCAAATATTACTCAGTTTTAAGAGTCTTTTATACTATTGAGGGAGGATCAAACTGAGGGCTGATGTTATATATAGACTTTCATGCAACTTAAGCAGAGAACATCATCTCTATTAGAATTTGAGAGGGAGCTATGTAACATTTATTTGGGAGGAAAACATTAACCTCTTGGCCAGTTTCCTTGACCTATAAAATTTTAGGAATAGGATTGAATGATCTACAAAACTACTTCTAGTTTTAAGGTTCTGTGAGTTTCTTGTTTGGGGATTTTTTTCCCCCACATGTACGTGAAATTTGTAATGAGCACAGGAATACTCTCTTGAGCTATGTTCTTTGTGTGTGAGCAAGAAGGTCATTTGGGGAGGGGTCCTATTAATGTGTCACAGCCTAAATGCACTGAACAGGACCCTAGTGGTCCAAAAGAGTACATGCAGGTACTCCTTAGAGTCTTTGTTTATTTTATGCATTGGAAGCTTTTTGTTCATTTTGATTTTTATGGGGAAAATCCCCAAAGTCTTAAAAATGTGTAATACAATAATAATTTACAAAATGTTTTGAGAAGTCCTCTCCTTCTGAGTTAGAGTTAGTAATGTAGTTCATACTTTGCTGCTTTAGTTCTATCTATATACTAGCTTTGGATTCCCATAGGAGTATTCTTGTTGTTACTGTCATTGCATATTCTTTAGAGTACTGTTTCTATGAAATTCAGCATGAAAATAAATTCATGACTCTATTTTGTCTATTTTCCTGCAACCCCTTCTCACCTTTATTGAGTAAAGAAGTAAAAACTAATATGCTCTTATTATCCATATTCCAGGTAGGGCAACAGTAGGTTTACAGTTGTGAGCACACAAAACAGAGTTTATTTTTGTATTAGTATTTATTAATTATTGTTACTTTCCATACAAACAACTATAAATCTATTTTGCCCCACCCCATATTTACAGAACAGATCCAGTATAGAGATAGTAGATCAAAATATATCTATTTTAAGAATGGCAACATGTTAATAGTTGTTGAAATTGGGTGATAGCTATATTGAGGTTCATTACACTGTTCCCTCTTCATTTGTGTACGTGTGAAATTTTCCATAGTAAGAATTAAACTAAAAAAATTGTTTTATTTTTTAAAAACATTACCTTTTAAGAAAATGATTAACATTTATGATTATTTCAGTGTTAAGCTTTGCATATAAGTGTCTTCATATTTTTTTCAGGGACAGAATGATGCTGTTGAAATTGGAACAAGAAATTTTAGATTTCATTGGTAATAATGAGTAAGTCCTGACATTTAACAAGGAAAGAAATTGTCATCACATTTATCCTTGATTTACTAAATTAGTTTTTCTTCTTACTTCTAGGTCTCCACGTAAGAAATTTCCCCCAATGACATCTTACCATAGGATGCTGTTACACAGAGTAGCCGCTTATTTTGGGTTAGACCACAATGTTGATCAGAGCGGGAAGTCTGTCATAGTAAACAAAACTAGCAATACAAGAATGTAAGTATTAAGAAATGTGTCACATGTGCATGTAACAATATCTTATCTTTTTACAGCACCTTTCATCTAAGGTTTTCCACATTTTAGCTGACTAATTAAGCTTCATAATACCCTTACATGATTGGATCAAAAGCACATTTAGCTCACAAGATTTAAAATGCACCAGTCTGGCCCTGGCCTAGTATCTCAGTTGGTTAGAACATTGTCCAGATATGCCAGGGTCACGGGTTTGATCCTTGGTTGGAGCACATGAAAGAATCAATCAGTGAATGCATAAATAAGTGGAACAGCAAATGAATCTGTTCCCCCACCCCCAAAATCAACAAAAACACCAGTCTGAACTGAAATGAGGTGGATGAAAGAGGACTGGTTTAAAAAACAAAAGCAAAAACTTTGAGAGGTCATATTATCAGATATTTGATAACCATTCTTTTATGGATTTTTAAATTAATGCAATTTAGATAGCTTTGTTCAGCCTCAGGCAAACTGGGGTATAGAGGAAATCAGATTTTTACACCATCACCTTTAATCTTCTGTCAATTTGCCGTTCTTTCCACCTCTGTTTCTGCTCTTTTTCTGCTACAAATGTCAAGAAGGTGAGTCCACTGGTTAATACAGTATTAACCATAATGTTGTGTCCCACTTTCTGGACTACATATAATTTATTCAGAAAATGTTTTAAGGAGTTAGGAGGAGCCATTTTCTTTAAAAAATGATAGTTTTATCCTATTGGTAAAATAGAACATTGAACCTGGCATTTGGGAGCAAAAGTCCCAATACAGAGGCACCTAAAATTATTACATGTAAATAACACCTCCTCTGCCTATTTGTAAAGCTGATCCTAAAACAACTAGTTAAGTTCAGCTAAATTTATAGTTTGGTAGTGATTTGCCTATCAGTAGAATTTTCTATATTAATTTCTATGTGACGACAGTGAATTTGTTTTATTGAGCAGCAGTCAGCTTGAGATACCAAAAATAATGGTTTTTAGTTCATGATTTTTCTGCCTTTTTTAAAGCTAGACTTCTCTCAGGGTCTTATCTGTGGACCATTCAATTTGAATGATAATATTTAATTCACTTGTATCCTTTCTCTTATAATGGCCTTTATCCTTATAGCTGCCATTTTGTTTACTGAAACTAAATCGATTTTCTTCCATTTTAAATAGAAGGTTGTGAACAAAATAGATATATTGATGGAACCTAGTATTTTTAAATGATTTTTTCTACAAGTAAAATTAAATTAATGAAGATAAATGTCTTTGAAAAGGATCCTATCTTTGGGATTAAATTTCACCTGCAAATGTGAATCAGATTTAATTTTCCTCTGTCTCTTCCTTATTCCTTTTTACACTATCCCCATCAATTAGTTTTTCCCAGTTAGTTACATCATGGCTGATAGGATAGTAACCATAACATATGAGCTGGAATGAAGGTGAATAGAACTCTAATTAATCTAACCAGTACCTTTCCTTATTACTCAGAGCTGCTGGATACCCAGGCACATGCACATTAGCAGGCATTTTGACTAACATTTCGACTGGTGACTCTCTAAGGTTTTCAATACAGTGTAACCTCAGTTATTTGAATGCTGTGAATGATGTTATATAGCTTTAGGGTTCTCTTCATCAAAATTGTCAAAAGTTTAGCTAAACACTAAATGTTTACGATGTACTAAGAGAAGAATGGATCAATAGCATAAATACAACTAGACATTTCGAATCATTGAAGTTACACTGTATTCTTGTCTTCTTACAATACGAAGAAGGTTGTAAATCAGAAAACCTTAGAGATCTGCTCCACATTGAATAAAAACAAACTTACCTTTTCCTCATAGGCAGATTACCCGCTCCAGCGTTGAACCAGTGGTGTTGTGGATGTCAACAACCCAGTGTCCACTGGAGTATCTCAATGGAGCGGGAAGTTGGAGATTGCAGGGCAATAAATTCAGGCATCTATAAGGTAAAGAGGTAAGACAGTCTTAAGGTTAGCTGAAATGCCTGCTAATGCTATTCGTTGTGGGAATCCAGCTGCTCTTAGAAAAGTTGCCAGGCCCTTGGTTGAACATTATAGTTCACTTTGGAATAACAGTCTTTCACCCAAGTAAAAACTCCTTGAATAAGAACATGTGACTTTAAATAGCTACAAAAATAATTGCTATAAGTAAACAGGATAATCATGTGACAGAAATAAACAACATCAGCATACTGCAATTGTCAGAACTACGCAGACAATCTCTCAAACTCCTAAAGAAAGCAATCTTTTTCTTACCAGTTTGGTCATAAAACTGTTTTTACTCTATATTATTGTCTTTAACTCTGTCTATAGTTTTATGCAGACATCTGCTCTCTGTTTCATTTATCTAGCACATTTTAAAATAGAGATTCGTCAGCTTACTTATTAGATAATTTTCACTTTAAATCTTATTTTGTACCATTTGACAGGTGGTAGATATTACTAAAAAATCACTAGGTGTAAACAAATATTGAGTGCTATATATAATGAAATACCTGGTTAGTTAGTGGAAAATGTCATTCAAGTTTATTTGGTTTAGAAATTTACTCTATGACATTTAAAATATATTATGTGACTATATAATATATTCTTAACCATATGTAAAAAAATAACTACTTGGGAGTTCAAAAATATATACCTCTGTATATATTTGTACATGTCATACATTTCAAACAAATAATTCCAGTTTTCTGAGAGGATAATATTAAGGCAGAAGAGTATTGGATGAATTAATTTGAGGAAGTGAAATTTTATATAATTATAATTTTCCAAGGACCAAAACTTATGTCTGTCATTTGGATCGCAATAGAACTTGCAACATCTCCATAGAGGAAAGACCAGTCAGCCATAAGATACAGGGTCCAGCTAAAGTGACATCTGTTTGAGAGTGGTTGGTAGTAATAATAATATGGGTGTAGTAATTTATAGTATTAATTTGAACATGTCACCTAAAATGTCATACAGTATGCTTCAGCATGATATTGCTATGTTTTACAAGCTTATAATTTTGTAATAAAAGATTTTGTGATAAAAAAAGGGGTGTTATTTGTGCCAGACCCTATATATTAAGATTTTACAATCATTACTTTAGCTTACAACATTAACCTCCAAAAAAGAACTTCTCTTTTGTAACTGGTTTCAAATAACAGAAAATGATGTGGACACCGTCCAGCAAGGTTCACAGCATTATGGATGAGACGAAATAAATTCACACGGACTACTGAGTCCTGTGGAGGAAAAGGGACAGCACGGCCAATCTCTCAAGGGGAGAGCACCCCAACCCTTGCCTTGGCAAGCTTTTATTGCTTTCCAATAGCATACATCAAAGAAGATTTTTATTCATTATGCTTAGGTTTGCCTTAGGTAATTACTTTTTACAGATAGCAATGGAAAGGATGTTGCTGATTACTTCTTGTTAGAAAAAAATGTTGCAAATGCAAGGGAACGATAAAAGTAATTGGTCTGGTTACACTTCAGTCTTTGGGAGAATCAGCACAGACTTCAGGAAGTTAATGTAAAGATATACAGTAAGCATTTCCTGCTTCAACTCAGGGTGAGGGCGTTTTAGCAAGAGCAAGCCTCAAAACAGCCTAGGTATAATGCAGGCCTGATTTCCCACAGGAGAACCAATCTGTGGATTTGGCTTCCGAGGGCCACAATGGGCCTGTTGGGCTTTTTAGTAGAGCTGAGCTACAATTGCCATTGCCAGGCAGATCAATTCCCTATAATAAAACAAAGATGTACCCTGCTATAATTAGTAATTCTTGAGAACTTGGTTGCATTTTGAAAGTAGTCTATTAAGTTGTAGTCAGTTCAACCACAAAATATTTAATTACTTTCAATTATATAACACCAAACTAGGTATAACATGATACTGTGCTATTCTTTTTTCTTTGTCCAGAATTTCTTCTTAGATTTAGAGGAGGCAATGCAAAGACATCTAGTATTTGGGTCTTATATACCAGGGCTCCAACTCTGGCTCAGTCATGTACTTGGACAGTTGCTTAAGCCATTTTACTATTTTAAATGCTGTTTATTAATTCATCTTCAGAATAACCTTATGAATTAGATACACTATGACTAGGGAATATAAAAGTTAAGTAACTTATACAAGTCCCAAAGCAACTAAATTGGTAAAGCTGAATATTTGAACATGAGCAGTATAATTCCAGAGTCTACACCATATTTCATAGGGCCTTTCATACATATCATGGGATAGTTAATATTTTCTTAGAAGATTATTATAAGGAGTAAATAAAATAACATGTATTACACTAGCCAGGTAGTTCAGTTGGTTGGAGCAGTGTCCCAATATGCCAAGATTACAGGTTCGATCTGCAGTCAGGGCACTTATAACAAGCTACTAATAAATGCATAAATATGTTGAACAACAAATCAGTGTTTCTCTTTCTCTATCTCTGTAAAAGCAATAAATTTTTTAAAATATTTCTTAGAAAGAAATAATCTAGGTATCTGGTTTTTTAAATTTAATTTAATTTTTTTTTATTGATTATGCCATTACAGTTGTTCTATTCCCCCCTTTCATTCCCCTCCACCCTACCCCTGTCCCCACCATTACCCCCCCTTTAGTTTATGACCATGTGTCTCAGGTTCTTTAGATTCTATATTTCCCAACTATTCTTGCCCCCCCCATCTATTTTCTATCTACCATCTGTGCTAATTATTTTCTGTACCTTCTCCCCCCTTCTCCTTCTCCCACTCCCCTATTGCTAACCCTCCTTGAGATCTTCATTTCTATGTTTCCACTCCTGCTCTAGCTGTCCTTTTAGTTTGCTTTTGTTTTAGGTGTGGTTGTTAATAACTGTGAGTTTGCTGTCCTTTCACTGTTCATGTTTTTTTAACTTCTTTTTCTTAGATAAGTCCCTTTAACATTTCTTATAATAAGGGCTTGGTGATGATGAACTCCTTGAATTTGATCTTATCTGAGAAGCACTTTATCTGCCCTTCCATTCTAAATGAAAGTTTTGCTGGATAGAGTAATCTTGGTTGTAGGTCTTTGGATTTCATAACTTGGAATACCTCTTTCCAGCCCCTTCTTGCCTGTAAGGTCTCTTTTGAGAAATCAGCTGACAGTCTGATGGGAACTCCTTTGTAGGTGGCTGTCCCCTTAGCTCTTGCTGCTTCTAGGATTCTCTCCTTCATTTTAATCTTGGCTAATGTAATTGTGATGTGCCTTGGTGTGTTTCTTCTTGGGTCCAACTTCTTTGGGATTCTCTGAGCTTCCTGGATTTCCTGGAAGTCTATTTCCTTTGCCAGATTGGGGAAATTCTCCTTTATTATTTGTTCAAATAAGTTTTCCACTGGTGGCTGTGCCTTTCCCCCTTCTGGTACCCCTATAATTCAGATGTTGGAGCGTTTAAAGATGTCCTGGAGGTTCCTAAGACTCTCCTCATTTTTTTGAATTCTTGCTTCTTCACTCTTTTCTGTTTGGCCATTATTTGCTTTCTTCTGGTCCACTCCATTGATTTGAGTCCCAGTTTCCTTTTCATCGCTATTGCTTTCCTGTGCAATTCCATTCATTTCAATTAGTTTCACCTTCATATGTTTCTCTAATTGGTGGCTATAATCCAGTTCTGTGAGGATCCTGATCACCAGTGTTTTAAACTGTGCGTCTGAGAGTTTTGCTATTTCTTCATCGCTTAGATTTATAGGCTCTGGGGCTTTGAGATCTTCTTGAGCCATTTCTGGTCTGTTTGTGCCCGTTAAGTATGAGGAGTGGAGCCTTGGACTCCCAGGTCGCTGGGTTGTGATACTGTATGTGGGGGCATGGTCATAGCAGGAAAATGGCGACCCCCTCTGCTGTTTTGTCCCGCTGGGTGAGGAGCAGAGCCTCAGGTTGTTCACCAGGGCAGGGCCGCGGGGAAATGGCAGCGCCGCGGGGAAATGGCTGCGCCCTCTGCTGCCGTTCCAGCTGGGGCCTGCTGGGTCCCATCTAACCGCCCACTCCCTGGCTGGTCTATCTGCACCCGAATGCGCGACCACAGTCAAATCTCGGCCCTGCTCCCTTGCTGGTTCCCTGAGATTGCTCGCTGGGTCGGTCCCCCCGTTGCAACCCTGTGCCTGGGTTCTGCGCGCTTGAGTCTATCTGACCAAGTTTTCCTGTGCAATCCCGCTCCACCAGCTGCTGGTTTCACCCCTTTTACTGGTCAGGCTGAAGAATTTGTTGTTATCAGACTTCTGAAAAGTCCAATTTTCTGTGTTCTGGCTGTGTTTTCTGTTGCTAATATTTAGTTGACTCTAAACTTGGTTGTGTTAGAAAGCACGGCGTATCCACCTATGCCTCCATCTTGGCAAAAGTCTCTCTAGGTATCTGTTAATGGCATCAGTGAGCAGTAGCTTTTATTACTTCTATTAGTTTTTATAAAATGTTACTATTTACCTTTTCTGTAAATGTTGTATATTATCTTTTTTTGTTCCCTTGTTTTTGTCTTTTAGACCTGATCAGAAATTTAATGAACATATTAAGGATGATAAAGGTGAAGACTTTCAGAAACGGTATATCCTCAAGAGAGATAACTCTAGCTTTGACAAAGATGATAACCAGGTAATCTAGCACAATTAGAGCATTTTTATATTTACAGGATTTATACTAACAGATTATTTTTCCAAGAACTAATTTTTCTCTTTTCTTTAGATAAGAATACGTTTGAAAGATGACAGAAGAAGCAAATCTATAGAAGAAAGAGAAGAGGAGTACCAGAGAGCTAGAGACCGTATATTTTCCCAAGATGTATGTATTGTTATATTTAGCTGTTCATGTAAAATTATACACTGATTGCATTGTAGGGACTCACTCCCTTCTTAATCTACTGGGCACATTTTAAAGCACATTTGTTACATATCAAGTTGCCTTTTAGAAATATTGAAATCTCTCTTGATAATAATTCAACAGTATATAAAACACTATATTGCAGCAGTTATATGTTTTTCAAAAGTTAGTGGCAAATTGACAACAGGAGTAATATGCTGGACTGAGTCTACAGGTTTTGTAATTTTTTTTCTTCCAGGCTTGAGATTTTTAGAACATTGGTCATTGTCTACAAAATCTTGTATACTCTAAATGCTACTTGTTAGTAAACTTTTCTTGATAAATAACTCATTTTTTCTTTTCAAATAATGCTAATTGACTTTCTAGATTAGTATTTGTTTTCTACTTTGTAAGTGATTATATGAAATAATTCTTTTAAAGGACTAATTATTTTTTGCATACCTTTGAGAAAAGAATCAGGTTGGTTTTACCAATATCTGTTAAGTATATGTTCCGTGCAGTACTAGTTACTATTCAAGGATATATGAATGTATGTAGTTTGTGTTAACACTGCCAGTGATAGAAATTTCCTCTCTACTAAGAACTATCAGTTAAGAATTTATAATATTCATTCAACAAACTATTGAAAACCTATAAATAGGTGCTATGCTGGGCACTGTAGAACATACCCATGGATAATAGTTTATCCCCCAAACAGCTTATATATGGTAGACATCATCATTGTTTTTGTTTTACAGATAAGGAAACTGAGGCACCAGGAGGCTAAGTGAAATAGCCAAAGATCATGCTGTTAGAAAATGACAGAGTTGGGATTTCAACCCAGGTCTTGTGAAGACCTAAATAAGATGTATTTCTCTTTAGTTTGTAAGAGAGATGAGGTCTCTACCCTTGACTAGTAGCCAGACAGTAATGATATGGTGTTTGATTTGTGTAGACACATAAAGGTTAAATGGGGACACAGCAGAGAGCACCATAAACCATAATTGAGGGATGCAAGTTAGCTTCAAGGAGGAGATTTAAAGGACTGAAGTATTCCAAGTAGAGAATCAATATTTGCATAAGCCCAGAAATGAGGGACAGTTTCACAATGAGGAATTGAAAGAGTCAGAGTACCTTGATTATAACTTAGGTGACATAGGAAATGAGGAAAGTTTAGATTGGAGAAATAATAAGCAGAGGGCAGCAGATGACTTCACCCTGAAAGCTAATTAAGATAGATAGGCTTTACCTAGAGCAGGAGTCAGCAAACTTTTTCTTATAAAGGGCCAGATAATAAATATTTTAAACATTTCAAGCCATATAGTCTTTATTGCAACAACTAAGTCTGCCTTTTTCATGTAAGAGCAGCCATAAACAGTACATAAATAAAATGGTGTGGGTGTGTAGTTCTGGCCATAATTTAGTGACTCCTGGCAGCTGAAAAACTAGTTAGAAGACTGTAGTAATAATAGCAACAAAAATGGTGATTGCCTGAGCTAGCTTCATAATATTAGAAAAGCTGCGTTGAGGCATACCTGCATGTTCATTGCCACAGCCATGGCCGAAGTATAGGTGATCAAAATATTTGTTGAGTGAATGAGGTAGAATCTACAGACTGGTGTATACCTTGAATATATAATAATAATAATAATGGATTCATGTATCATTTATTTCTATACTTTTATCACCATGAGGATTTCTTTTTGTGGGGGGAGACACTTTTTAAATATTATTACACAAGATGTTTGTTGTCATCGTTGGTTTACAGATGGCACTGTGTATTTGACAAAAGCTCAACTTTGTATATCTATTCTTTCTTTCTAGTCCCTGTGTTCCCAAGAGAATTATATTATTGACAAAAGGTGAGGGTATTTTTAACATATGTTTTGGTAACTGTCTGACTGATCCTAATAAAAATAAAAATATGTTATTAAAATGCCAACAGAATCCAAGATGAGGATGCTAGTAGTACTCAGCAGAGGCGCCAGCTATTTAGGTATTGTGAGCGTATACTTTCATGCCATATTGAAAAATTAAAGCAACTTTTAAAATTCTTTTTGTTTTTGTCTCTGTTTACTTCAAAGATATATTTCTAAATTACAGAGTTAATAAAGATGCTTCAGGGAGATCAACAAATAGCCATCAGAGCAGCACTGAGAATGAGTTGAAGTGCTCTGAACCGCGACCCTGGAGCAGCACAGATTCAGACAGCTCTCTCCGCAACTTCAAGCCTGCTGTGACCAAAGCCAGCAGCTTCAGTGGAATTTCAGTCCTGACAAGAGGTGATAGTTCTGGAAGCAGCAAAAGCATAGGCAGGCTTTCAAAAACAGGTATAAATGCCAATCTAGATATATGTCGTCAAAACATTAGTTTTCAATGTTTTCTGAGCAGTTTGTTTCATATGACTTATGTAATTATCCTAAAATATAAAAATCTTATACTAACAGCAGTGCATTAAGCACTTCCGAAGTACTTAGAGATAATGTATTTATTGGCATTACAATTCATTATCTGTATGAGAGATTTTAAAACATCAATTAAATAAGAATTCTCTATTGTGACATAAATTTAGTCAGATTGATTCAATGAAATGTCATTTCTTGTTTGAGTATCCAGTGGTTGGAAATTCTTAATAGCTTATTTATAGTTGGAGGGCATGGTTACTCAACTAGGATTATTTAATAGTAATTACATTTTCAGCTAATACCATTGTATTAATTATTGACTGCATTTTTTGCATTTGCCATTCAAAAACAAATAAAATAGCTGAGACGATTTTGAGGAACTAGGAAAATAATCTGATGTAATTACTATGAATGAGTGGAAATTTTAATAACATCCTCATTCTCTTAGCTTATTTGCATTGAGAGTAAATAACATTTAGACTCATTACATTTTCTCTTTTCATAAACTGGTTTCAATACTAAAAAACTCATGTTTCTCTTAGGATCCTTGTAGATGCTTATTTTTATCCCAAAATAAGCATGAACATTAGTAGAAGTGGCTTCCTCTTGTTAGCCTTTTTGGGTCAGCCTAAACATTTGGCGTTACAACATGAGAACATCATTTAGACATTACCAAATTAAAACATTTTAAGAACAGATTATTAATAACCTGTATTTTTACAAAGAAAAAGAAGTACTGTTTAGCTTAATAGGAAAAATTATTTTTATATAGTTCTGCTGAATAGTCATTTTGGCACAACTTAAAATAGAAATTCCTACACTACTCTTAACCTTTCTGTATTCATATACATCAGAGGGTTTTGATATAAGAGGATTTGGGCAATTGGCTGGCTGAGTTCTTTTTCCTGGGGGGAAATTATAATCTGTATAGTCTAGGTGTTAATCTGAAAGGTAAAATGTGTATATAACTTTGTTGTTTTGGGAATGTGGGTAATGTGCTTTTTGTGACTGTCTGTGGCTGGTGTTATTATAAACTTGTCAGTTGATGCTTTGGCTATGACTTCTCTGACAACTTATGTGATCAGTTTGCTGTATTAAACTTGTTTATTGTGGTGAGGGAAGACAAACCTTACCATAGATTAAAAAATAACCAATGTTTTTATGTGGTAACTGCATGTTATGCAATGTGAATTTAAATGTTACATATTGAAAACCTGCATTTATATATGAGGTTTAAAAAATACATATTTTTCATTACTCCTCCCCCAGGTTCTGAGTCTTCTGGTAGTGTAGGGTCATCTACGGGCTCTCTTTCTCACATCCAGCAGCCTCTTCCAGGTACAGCTCTCAGCCAGTCTTCTCATGGCGCACCTGTCGTCTATCCAACTGTCAGCACTCATAGTTCTCTTTCCTTTGATGGTGGCCTAAATGGGCAAGTTGCATCTTCTAGCACTAGCTTCTTTTTGCTTCCCTTGGAAGCGGCAGGCATACCACCTGGCAGTATTCTGATCAACCCACAAACAGGTTGGTATCCCGAAAAAAGTGTTTATTTCAGTTGAGATATCAGGAGTTACCTGAAAATAAATGAAAGAATACGTGTTAAATGTAATGTCTGTGTATGTGTTGTCAGCTATTCATTTCTAATGCATAATTAGCATTTTCTCTAGAACTTTAATAAAAACACTTATGCTAGAAAGTGTTAAAAGACATATCAGAAAGTATCTTTCTCCTTATAACTTCTTTTAGGCCAAATAATGGCCTAACTCTAGTTATAAATAGTATATTTTTCAGAAATAAGACAACTAACTTTGAAAAGAGCTTTATTTGATAAAAAGTTTTATTTGTTAAAAGCTTTATTCTGGGGAAATAATATGCATTTCATGAAGAAGGAGAAAGTTAACAGCTCTTACTCATTATATAATGATGTGGAAAGAACCTATAAGTAATCGTCCTCCTGAATATGGTCATTGTTTTCTACTGAGGAAAAGCTAAAGGAGATCTTATTAGTAAAAGAAAATATGTAGTCTTTATGAATTCAAATTAACAACATGTATTCTTTGCAATTAGATAATAATTTGGATATACCAAGCATTAACTGTTTGTCATTTATTCTTATTAGGTGCTTTAAATATTTTATTTACAATCTTTATAACAACCGTGTTGGGTAGATTAAATCCCCATTTACAGATAAGAAAATAATCTCAGAGAGATACAATCAGAATACATTTTATTGTGTACATTGTCAAAAAATGACTTATACAGAAAAAAATGTGATGTTTTAAAAGATCACAAGAAGTCTTGCTCTCCAAAATAACATAGCCCAATCATTTGGTAAAATAATGAAAACAGCCTTAAAATATTTGATAACCTTCCCTAGAAATTCACAGACTTAGTTGAGGTACTCACATCAGCATGGTAGTGGTCTGGCTAGGTAGAAAAACAGGTGCAGGTGTCAGGGTCTCTGAGTGTTCCTTTTGTTGTAGAGAAAACCAGGGCTTGGAATTTATTGCCTTCATTTGCATCTTTTTTTTTTTTAAGATAAAGTATCCAAACATTTGTGTCTGTATAAGAATTGAATTATCATAAATAAATGACTTTTTAGAAATTCAGTTTTTGCTTGGTAACAGTTATCCTCTTATCCTTCAGGTTTATTGTTTTACTAAACTTCCTATTTCCTAGAGCATGATATAAGATGATTTAATATTTCACTATCTCCTTTTTCTTTCGAAACACATTAGTTAATGTTTTTTGTAACATCAAAGATTCAGTTGAGTAGGGAATAATAGAGTGAGAAATTAATCAATCTGAAATCGAATTGTAATCTTAATTTTAAATAAGTTCAAAAGTGACTTCTTTGCTTTTTGAGAACAGCGTTAACAACACATCTAACTTTTTTCAGACAGTCCTTAAGTTACTTTTAAATGTGCTTTCAACCCTAAATCTTCATACCATTTATTTTCAAAATTACTTAACATTCAACAATTATCCAGCATGAGTTGTTTCTAGTTATTTATGACCAATGCATAATATATCAGGGAACTAACTGATGAAAATAGTTTGACTTTGGGGAACTTTTACCACTTGATAGCAATGGAGCAGTAGATTCTTCTTTTCCAAATGTTATCATATGTCATAAGTTTCAAAAAAAATAGAGGTAATTTATCATGGAAGAAAGGATGTTTTAAAGGCAATGCAAGAAACTGTTATTCGAACTTATCTTCTTCCATGAAAATAAGAGATTTAGTATTCTTCCCATAATAAATGGGTATCATGTCAATAGTTTATTTCACATAATCTTCTCTTTAAAAATAAAATCTAGTATACAGTGATGAAAAATAATAAAAGTCTGGAAGAAGTTGTCCAAATTGTTAACAATAAGATTATGATGGGGGATTTATTTTCTTTTTAGACCTCTATTTGTCGGTTATTTTCCAAAAATAAAAATATTTTTATGATAAGAAAAAGTTGTTTAGAATGTGTATAGAGAAAGAGAAAAATTTACTCAGTTACTTACAATATCCCTCTGATAATTAATTAGTAAGCACTAAAAACAAGCCTCAAAATCAATACTAAACTTTTTTCTAGTTTTCTTTCATTTATGAATAAATCTCACTGGAATTAAAAAGAGTATTTTAGAGAATTATTTAGGATTTAAAAATTATTTGCAATTTCACAACATGATACTGCCATCAAGTCACATTTGAAATTTGAAGCCATTAATCATTTAATTTTTCATTCCATTTTCATTTTATTAGTGAAATATATACAGGGTAGCCTGTAAATTAGCTGTTTTCCATCACCTAATGGAGGCTAACTCGTAGTTTTACAGTATCCTAAAGTCAAGCATTTTTTTGTGGAAACTGAAATGTATTACAGTACTAAAGTATCACAAGCTTGTAACTAAACTCAGGAGCAAGATATATTTCAGAATTCAGAGGTTTTCAGAAAATACTGCATATTATAAAACAACTTTAGAAGATTTTGGAGCAGCACCCTTATAGTAAAACACTGCAGCAAATTTTTTGAATATTTACTCTAAGTGGGAAAAATAAAGACTATTAATAGTCTCATATAAGGTCAGACTCTGCTTCCTAAACTGGGAAAATCTTGGTTTTCAACTTGTGGCTTTGAAGTTGTCAATAAGGAGTGTAGCCATGTACTGTAAATTGTTACTAGAATGACCTTTTTTCAAATTCTACTGTAAATGAATTTTTTCCTCCTTTTTAATTTTTTTAGGTCAGCCCTTCATAAACCCAGATGGGAGTCCAGTTGTGTATAATCCTCCTATGAGTCAACAACCAGTTAGAACCCAAGTGCCTGGACCTCCACAGCCACCTCTGCCACCCCCACCACCTCAACAGCAAGCAGCTAATCACATTTTCTCACAGGTGCTCATATCCACAATTACATAATGCTAAATTCACCTGCCTTTGCACATTTGGGACTGAATTCACTAATTATAATTGAGGTAGCCCATGTAAGTATCTCTTAGAACTTTAATATTCTCTATCAGTGATGTCCCACTTACTATATAGGAAGAGAGTTTAACTTCAAGGGCTTTTCAGCTAATACATACAGAATATATATTGGAAAGAAAGGAATTTTGTATCTCATGAGACTCTGTGGTGAGTATTTTATCCTTATTTCACAACAGCAAGAAATGGACAAGAGGAATAAAACGAAACTAAGACTGTTCATTATCCCAGTGAGTAAAATGAGTTTTTTTTAATTCAACAGTTGTGGCAGTTTGAAAAAACTGAGTTGAGTTTCTCAAGTTCTGCAATGTACTACTCTCCATCCCACCTAACCTCTGAAAAATAGACACAGAGACATCTCAAGTTAGAATTCACTAAAGCACTCAATAATATCTTAAATTTATTTAAATGTTTAGAATTTACACATAGATTTTCACATTGAGGCTTTTCCGCTGTAGAGGTGTTACTCATCCTTGCGGAACTTGATTAGACCAGTATGAATTCCTACACATTTTGTCTTAAAGTTTCTGTAACATACGAAAGACAGTTTGTACATTTAAGTTATACCTCTTTTTCCACTTGTGAGAAAATACAGAGTAATTTCTTATGAAACGATTATGGTGATGAACTTGAGCAAGAAAAATTTCATTAGTTTTCCTCACAAGTTTTATCATTTGTATTGTAGGGGTGAAGAATATATGAGCAGTTTGATAAAGTTTACAGATATTTTCAAGGTCTTGAAAATAATTGTTCCTCTGTCAACTAACACTCCTAATACTGGGCAAGGCAGTTTATCTTAAATAAATGGACTTTGCCCTGGCCTATGTAGCTCAGTTGGTTGGAGTGTTGTCCTGTAAACCAAAAGGTTGAGGGTGTGATTCCTGGTTGGGGGCACATGTCCAGGATTTGAATTCAGTCCCTGGTCAGGGCACGTACAAGAGGCAACTGATTGATGTTCCTCTCTCACATCAATGTTTCTCTCCCTCCCTTCCCCTTTCTCTAAAATCATATCAATACATTAGTTAATAAAATAAAATAAATGGACTTCAAGGTTTTGATGCATTTCTAAAACCATGAATATGAATTCATATATGTAGAGGAAATTGCCTAAAACTATTTCCAAAGATTCCCATATTCACTTTCTAACCCCATTTGATTACATATACTCAGTTACATATTAGACTATATAAAACTCCCTCCCTGTTCTTCTCTGCCTTGGCTTCATTCAACTTGGTCCTGAAGAGTTTTTCTTTTATTTTGCTAACATGTGGTTTTTGCCACACTATATATTTCACTAGGAGCTTTATAGGACTGATTTTCATTTCATTCTGTGAAAAAAAATGTCAGTTTGGTAGCTGCAAGAAATTCTAAGGATTTACCTGTGGTCATTATATCTTAGAAATAACTTTGATTTAGTTATAAAAGACAATTCTAAGTGAAGGTGTGGACAGTTTAGTTTAGGAATAAATGCCTGTTAATGGACTGTAATTTGAAATCTTGGGGGATTCATCAAACTCCATGTCTCTTTTTTTCCTGGCATTGCTTCAAGTGTTTTTGGTAATTCATCATCAGATACAAAAATAGAAATGATACTCAGTAAACTATCTTTTGCATACTGGGATAATCCATCCACAAAATTTCGAATAGCCAAACAAAATAATACTGTAATTTCCAAACCTGCAGAGGTGCTACATTTCTTGAAACCACTTTAGGTGGGTGTTGTTTTGCACACAGTTGCAATTTAAGTAGGAAAAGGAAGTGCTAGGGCTTTTTCTTTTCTAAGTGGTATCAGAATTTCACTTTGATCAGCCAGTCTTAGGCCACATTTTTCTCATTACCACTTGACACCCTGAGACATTAATTCATACCCTTGGTGCTCCTAGTGCTATTCTTTCTTTTATCATCCCAGAGCAGACTAAAGCTTTTGTTTCATCTGACACTTACATAGCAGGTCAAGTTATCTGGAAGAAAGTTACATCTTAATGGTGGTCTGACTCAATAACACATTGAATAGCCTGTATTTGGAAGTTCTAAAGCTACTCCTCCACATTTAGTGTGATAATATGCTGTCATCAGTTAGCAGGCTTGCTAATTTCTAGTCGAGAGGTTAGTGAAAAGCCAGTGGCTATTTTGTAGATCTTTTAGCTTTTCCCCCCCTACTTCCATTTTAATGCTAGATTTTTTTTTGTGGGATTCTAAGCTAATATAAAAGCCTTTCATATTTTTAGAAACTATTATTTTGATTTTGTGTTAAAAGTGCAACTCACTATTTGTACATCTCAATTGTCATAAGAATTTCTCCTTATTTAGATTAGTTCCTGGGCAATCTTATTCAGTTAGTTTATTTTGCAATTTTAAAGTATTTTCTTTGGAAATATTCCAGAGAGAGATTCATGTATATACATTTTGACCAAAATTAAGAGTTTTCATTAGATAAAAATTACCTGGGTCCCTCCAGTGCTTGCTTATTACATGGCTGTCTACAGGTCACTTTAGCCTGCTCACCACCTGTAAAACGTGTTATGGTAGTGGTTAAGCCAATATGTATATTATCCACTTTGTAATGAACTCAATCATGTCAATGTTAGTCTATAGATGGCCGGCTGCATTCCATAAGATTTTGAAATGTTTAAAATATTTTGGGTTTTTTTTCTAAACACCTATTTTACAGTGCCCTGTGGAAACTTTTTTCCAGAAATGCAAGAGTATTTCATTAGTAAAAAAATTTTTAGCTAGTTTCTCAGCTCTTAATAAACATTTTCAGTTACAAGAAAAATATTTATCTTCAGTATATAAGAGATGTGTTTGTATATCTATATGTCGTTTCTTTAAGCTGTTGTTAATGGTGCACCTAGCACATTTTTCTTTAAAAAATTGATAAAATTTGGGCACTCTGGTCCCAAAAGAGTATCTCATTGTGCCTTATAATTTAAAGGGGGGTCATTGGCATAGATACTATATATAAGTTATTACTTTCTGATATTACCTGTTTCAGTGAATCTAATCTTCTTATGAAAAAACTATCTAATTGTGTACTAAATTTAAGCATAGGTATATTCTCAAAAATATTACTATGTAGAGTTTCTTCATTTAGCATTGTTTTTGTTGTTTTCTGTATTGCTGTATTAAGGACGACTTTATAAGTGTAGTTTAAGCCATTGTCAAAAAATGTGTAACTTTCCATTTTATGCAGTTCTTCTGATATTTTGTTCTGACATTAACATTGTTCACCAACCTGTTATTCCTTAGCCTGTCCTCTGCAGTCCTGTTCCACAACCTATTCAATACTCTACAACCCCTTATCCATCCCCGCTCCTGCCAGTCTCACCCACCCAGCAGCACTTCGTGGTACTGTATCTCTGATCACCTCCTGCATTGTTTCTGTGGGTGGAGTATGATGAAGGCTCATGAATGTGATTAATGTGATGTGATCTTTGGCGATTATTTTAAAGTCAGGGAATGTGTATACTGAAAAGGGTTTCTAACCTGCATTAAGTATAAATCTCTTCCATGATATATTTGTTATATTGGCTTATCACAGTGATTGGATAAACCCGAATCTTTTCCTTTCTCTTCATAATGAAATAATTTTCATATTGACTATTCTAGTCATAACATGTTTTAACTACATAACCTCACTGAGTCAGTGTAGCTCTCTGCAATCCTAGGGTAGCAGCTTTCATCTGGGTTTAAAGTTTCTGTTCCTTTCCCAGTGCCATAGGTCCAGTAGACTTAGTACCATTTATTAGGGTGAATTGAAGCTTACAACTACAGAAGAAATCCTCCTAAGTAAATTTCTAAGGAAGATCTCTAGATATATCTGTGACTATAAAATAATGGTACCTCCTTTAACCCAGTATATGCACAAAGTTCTGCCACTGCTTAAGAGCTCACACGCCCCCTGCCATGTGTTTTCTCTGTGACCTTTGGTTACTAACCACAAGAGACAGCAATGTGAAGTACCTCCTGCATACTGCCTAACATGAAATATTTAATAAATATTGGTTTTCTTCCCTTAAAATGAGTCTCTCTAACAACCTACATACTTTTTTGCAGTTATTTCTCAAGCTGCATAGCCATCACATTTTGAAATTGTTTTGCAAGTTAAATTACAATCAATATCTTAAAATCACTCCACACTTTTCAGAAACATTTGAGCTGGGGGCAACCTTATTCATCACCCTTGCCTCTGAATCGTTTTCAAAAATTATTTCTAGTCTGAAAAAGTGAAATTTTGCCAGCATTGAGAAAGTTGATAACTTTATAAGAATAGCATAAAAGCCTTAAAAATGTTTTTTAAAATGGCACATCATCGGTATAGCAAAATGGAGCTTTTCCCAAGATGATTGTAATAGTGGTGTGCAGTTAGAGTATCTTTTTAAAATAATGGCCACACTACCTTATAATTACAGCTGGTATATTTTTCCTTTTTGAAACTATGTATTGAGTTAAGAAAACAGAACAGCCATTTGGGAGGAGTAAAATCACATTTTTGAAGTATATTTAATTGATTCTGTTACACTTGCCCCAATTTTTTTCCCTTTGCACCCCCCACCCAGTACCCCCTTCCCTCCAACATTCACCCTCTTAGTTCATGTCTGTGTGTCATGCATGTAAATTCTTTGGCTTCTCCCTTTCCTGTACTATTCTTAACCTCCCCCTGTCTATTTTGTACCTCTCAATTATGCTCCCTCATCCCTACACCAATATCCCCATTCTCCCCCTTCCCCCTCCCAGCTAATAATCCTCCAAATGATTTCCATACCTATGATTCTGTTTCTGTTCTGGTTGTTTGCTTAGTTTGTTTTTGTTTTTAAGATTCAGTTGTTGATAGTTGTGAGTTTGTTGTCATTTTACTGTTCATATTTTTTATCTTCCTATTCTCAGATAAGTCCTTTTTAACATTTCGTGTAATAATGGCTTGGTGATGATGAATTCCTTTAGCTTTACCTTGTCTGGGAAGCACTTTATCTGCCCTTCCATTCTAGATGATAGCTTTGCTGGATACAGTAATCTTAGATATAGGTCTTTGCCTTTCATGGCTTGAAATACTTCTTTCCAGCAAAGAAGTATTCCCTTCTTGCCTATAAGGTTTCTTTTGAGAAATCAGCTGACAATCTTATAGGAACTCCTTTATAGGTAACACTCTGCTTTTCTTGTTGCTTGTAAGATTCTCTCTTTATCTTTACTCCTCAGCATTTTAAGTATGATATGTCTTGGTGTGGTCCTCTTTGAGTGCAACTTGATTGGGACTGTCCATACTTCGTGGACTTGCTGTCCATTTCTTTTGCCAAATTAGGGAAGGTTTGTTCTGTTATTTTTTCAAATAGATTTCCAATTTCTTACTCCTCCTTTTCTCCTACTGGCACCCCTATGATGTTAATGTTGGACCTCTTGAAGTTGTCCCAGAGGCTGCTTATACTACCCTCATTTTTTGTGTATGTTTTTTTGGGGGGGGATTTTTTTTGTGTTCTGATTGGTTGTTTTTTGCTTCCTTATGTTCCAAATCATTGATGTGATTCTCAGCTAGATCCACTGTACTGTTGTTATTATTGTTTACTGTAATTGTTCTTTACTTCAATTAGTGAATCCTTTGTTTCTGACTGGATCTTTTTAATGCTGCTGAGAACCTCACTAAGTTCCTTGAGCATCCTTATAACCAGTGTTTTGAACTCTGCACCTGACAGATTGCTTATCTCCATTTTGTTTAACTCTTTCTCTGCAGTTTTGACCTGTTCTTTCAATTGGGCCCTGTTTCTTTGTCTCCTCATTTTGGCAGCCTGCCTGTGTTTGTTTCTGTGTATTAGGTAGAGCTGCTTTTGACTCTGTGTCTCGGTAGTGTGGCCAAATGTAGTAGGTGTCCTGTAGGTCCCAGTTGTACAGCCTCCCCGTCACCCAAGCTGGATATTCAAGGTGAGCCCTTTGTATAGGCTGAATATACCCTCCTCTTATAGTTGAGCCTTGATTGCTGTCAGCAGATCAGTGGGAGGGATTTATGCAGCCCAGTCAGGTGCAAGGATTGCTTGTGAACACTTACCACCAACCTCTACCCTCGGTGGAGGATCAGCTGTGCAGGAGCAGGTGGTGGTGCTCCGAAGTGGTCTGTAGCTGTCCACTGGGTGTGCTGGCCCTGGTGTTTGTTGGGTGGTGCAGGCTAAGGTCAGCCTCCACTTATGTTTGTTTTGGGGTCCCTCTTCCTGAGCTATAAAGCAGTCTGAGAAGGCTGTTCCTTGTGCTGAGCTTAGAGATTCCCAAGCAAGCCAAGCTATGAAAGTAATCTGGCTACTGCTAGTGCTGGGCCTGGAGCTCACTGAGACCAGCTGTTGCTTGTTTGATAGAATTTAGGAAGCTGTGAAGCAGAGCCAAGACCAATTATTCATATGGAAAAGCAGCTTGGGTGGGCCATAAGTGGAGTGGGGCGGAGCCTCTGGAGATCTCCAAGGTGGTCGGTCAAACAGTGTTAGTCAGATTGATAGAGTCTCAAATATGGCACCAGCATGCTGGCTCCATGGCTCCAGGGGATGATGGCTCAGAAAATGAACAATGCCTTCTGCTCACCCTGATGCCAAACACTTCAGCCTCTCCCAGTATGCTACTGGTGCCCTTCACGCTGCCACCCCAGTGCTGGAGCTCAGAGGGAGTGAATCTGGGTAGGTGAGTCCGGGTGTGGGGTTTTTTTAAGAACTGCTTGGGGCTCTAACAGTTTCTTCTACCAACTCACTCTCCACTGGTTTTTGCGACCAAAAGTCGTGGGTACCTACCTCCCTGGCACTGGAACCCTGGACTGGGGGTCCTAGTGTGGGGCTGGGACTCCTCACTACTGAGGTAATCTCTCCTGAGTTTTTATCTACCACACATGGATGAGAGACAAGCCAGTTCTGCATCTGCACCCCTCCTACCAGTCTGGATGGGTGCAGTTTCTTTAATTCCGTAGTTGCCAGACTTCCATTCAACTCAATTCCTGATGTTTCTCAGTGATGTTTGGTCTGTAATTTAGTTTTAATTTTGATGGCTCTGTGGGAAGAGGCAAGCCATGTCTGCCTATACCACCATCTTGACATATATTTTCAAATCATTAAATCAGTTCCCCTTTTTAAGTAACTTTTTTTCAGTTTTTCTCTCAGCAAAATGTATATATTGTTGCCAATCTGTGACTCCTTGAGAATAGGGAAGTTATTTTAACCCCATTATTTTTATTTCAGTGATATTACTTAGACTAGTCAGAAATGTTTCTGTTGTTGTTGTCATTGTTGTTGTTGAGCCAGAAAAACATTTGTTGGGTGAAGTAAATCGTAACTCTATCTTGGCTGGGCACTCTTGCCTGCCCACCAAGTAACAGAAGCAGTAGGAAACTCGTTTGTCTAACATTTGACTTAAGAAACAGACTGAAACACACAAAAATAGAATTTGTGGCTAAATTATTTTTGAAAGGTTAGAGAGATCAGAGTTGATGGCTTTTAATTTAATTTAATTCCTGCTAGTATATTTGTTAGGTATGATAGGCAATTCAAAGCTGTTTTAGGACCTGAATCTTGCCTTCTAGGAAGAGGGCAATGATTTAAAATGAAGAGTAATTTGTAGTTACCTGGTGTTGGAAGTCTTTTAAGTTTCACTTTCACATCCTGTGTGCTTTTAATCTTCGTTTACATAAATGTTTTTTCATTTTTCTACATGGTATACATTTCCATTACATGTATTATATATTTTATAAGTAATTTGTAATGACAGCATTATAATATTCCTACCTTACTGCCTTAGAGTTTTAATATTTTTAAAGTTGCTCTTTTATTAAATCATGTCTGTTGTACATAGATGATTTCCATAATATACACTACTGAAGCTCATCTTAAAATACATGAAGTATTTTTCTTTGATTAGTTTGGTCTGTGTATAGAAGTACTGATTTAACTTTTTCCCTTTTTTTGGCAGGACAACCTTGGGTCTCAGTTCAGCCACATGAGTCTTGCCCGCCAGCCATCTGCAGATGGTTCAGACCCTCATGCTACCATGTTCCAGTCCACCGTTGTTCTTCAGTCCCCACAGCAGTCTGGTTATATCATGACTGCAGCTCCGCCACCACCACTACCGCCACCGCCTCCGCCACCTCCTCCTCCTCCACCTCCTCCTCCACCTCCCTTACCACCTGGGCAGCCAGTCGCTACTGCTGGCTATTCTGCTTCTGGTCATCCTGTCAGTCAGCCTGTGCTCCAGCAGCAGGGGTATATCCAGCAGCCCTCACCACAGGTACATCTTTTTTTTTCCACTTTTTCCCACAGAAGCTTCTTATTTAAGATCAGTTTTAAAACTAGAGTGTTTGTTTTTAATTTCACAGGGAAGGAATTTGTGACAATGTATATAAGCAAAGCTTGTCATCATTTTCTCTGGAGATTTTTCAAATGCATGCTAGACAATCACATGACAGTTGGAGTTTCCTTCTGACTCTGAGAGGTTTTGGGGTTTTTTTCTAATTAGCTTTAGAGAAACACAATAAAGTAGATGCACTATAAAATAAAATGCATTTCAAGAAGAAATAGATCAGTTTGGGGAGAATTATCGCCTCCAATACTTTTGAATTTTCCACTGGAGGAATATGTTATCTCTCTCCATTTAGTTAGATCTTCCTTAATTGTTCTCAACAGTATTATATAGTTTTCATTATACAAATGTTATACATATTTTATTAATTAGAACCCCTAAGTAGTTCATGTTTTGAAATATTCTGAAGGAGATTTTGTTCAGTTCAAGTTGACATTTAATATTATATTAGTATATAATATTATAGTAATATAATATTATATTAGTTTCAGGTATACAGCATAGTAGTTAAACATTCATTTATCTAACTTTTACAAAGTGATTTCCCCTGATAAGTCTAATACCCACCTGACACCATACATAGTTATTACATTATTGACTATATTCTCTCTGCTTATTTTGTAACTGCCAATTTGTACCTCTTAATCCCTTCACCTTTTTCACCCAGTTCCCCAAACTCCATCCTGTTTTGATGTTTATTTTAATTTTTAGAGTCCCCATATAATTAATACCATATAGTATTTGTCTTTCTCTTTCTGACTTATTTCACTTAGCATGATGTTACCCTCTAGACTCATCTATGTTGTTAAAAATGGTAAGATTTCGTTCTTTTTATGGATGAGTAATATTCCATTGTATAAATGTACTACATTTTAATCCAGTTATCTATTCATGGGAGTTAGGTTGCTTCTTTTTCTTGGCTACTGTAAATTATGCTGCAGTGAACAGAGAGATGGATATATCTTTTCAAATTAGTGTTTTGGATTTCTTCAGATAAATAACCAGAGGTGGGATTGCTAGATCATATGGTAATTGTATTTTTAATTTTTTGAGAAACCTCCTAAACATTTTTCATAGTGGTTGCACCAATTTTCAGTCCCACCAACTATACACAAAGGTTCCCTTTTCTCTACATCCTCACCAACAGTTGCTTGTTGATTTATTGATGATGGCCATCCTCACCAATGTGAGGTGATACCTCATTGTGGTATTAATTTGCATTTCTCTGATGATTAGTGATGTTGAGCATCTTCATATGTCTGTTGGCCTTCTCTGGAGAAATGTCTGTTAAGGAATTCTGCCCATGTGAAGTAGTACCAGTTTTTTATATAAGTTGGATATTAACCCTTTATCAATGTATCATTAACAAAAATCTTCTCCCACAGAATCCATGTATTAACTTGAATATAAGTTTTGAAAGTACACATATTTCCCTTGTTTCCATGCTTAGGGGAAAGAATTTAATCTTCAGTCACTAATTTGTAATATTATCTGCGGGGGGGGGGGGTTTGTCCATGTCCTTTATCATCAGAGAAAATTTTCTTCTGTTCTTAGTTTGCTGAAAGTCTTTACCATGAATGAATATTAAATCTTGTTAAATGTTTTTCTGCATCTGTTGAAGTGATTATGTGATTCCTCCCCCCTCCCTTTACTCTGTTAACACAGTGGTTTATTTATTTATTTATTTTATTGATTATGCCATTACAGTTGTTCTATTCCCCCTTCATTCCCCTCCGCCCTGCACACCTCTCCCCCCACATTTCCCCACTTTAGTTCATGTCCATGTGTCATAAGTTCTTTAGCTTCTATATTTCCCACACTACTCCTGCCCTCCCCCTATTTTCTCCCCAATGTCTATGCTACTTATTTTCTGTACCTTCTCCCCCCTTCTCCTTCTCCCACTCCCCTATTGCTAACCCTCCTTGAGATCTTCATTTCTATGTTTCCACTCCTGATCTAGCTGTCCTTTTAGTTTGCTTTTGTTTTAGGTGTGGTTGTTAATAACTGTGAGTTTGCTGTCCTTTCACTGTTCATGTTTTTTTTAACTTCTTTTTCTTCGATAAGTCCCTTTAACATTTCATATAATAAGGGCTTGGTGATGATGAACTCCTTGAATTTGATCTTATCTGAGAAGCACTTTATCTGCCCTTCCATTCTAAATGAAAGTTTTGCTGGATAGAGCAATCTTGGTTGTAGGTCTTTGGATTTCATGACTTGGAATACCTCTTTCCAGGCCCTTCTTGCCTGTAAGGTCTCTTTTGAGAAATCCTCTGACAGTCTGATAGGAACTCCTTTGTAGGTGACTGTCCCCTTAGCTCTTGCTGCTTCTAGGATTCTCTCCTTCATTTTAAACTTGGCTAATGTAATGATGATGTGCCTTGGTGTGTTTCTTCTTGGGTCCATCTTCTTTGGGACTCTCTGAGCTTCCTGGATTTCCTGGAAGTCTATTTCCTTTGCCAGATTGGGGAAATTCTCCTTTATTATTTGTTCAAATAAGTTTTCCACTGGTAGCTGTGCCTTTCCCCCTTCTGGTACCCCTATAATTCGATGTTGGATTCGAGCGTTTAAATATGTCCTGGAGGTTCCTAAGACTCTCCTCATTTTTTTGAATTCTTGCTTCTTCACTCTTTTCTGTTTGGCCATTATTTGCTTTCTTCTGGTCCACTCCATTGATTTGAGTCCCAGTTTCCTTTTCATCGCTATTGCTTTCCTGTGCAATTCCATTCATTTAAATTAGTTTTGCCTTCATATGTTTCTCTAATTGGTGGCTATAATCAACCAGTTCTGTGAGGATCCTGATCACCAGTGTTTTAAACTGTGCGTCTGAGAGTTTTGCTATTTCTTCATCACTTAGATTTATAGGCTCTGGGGCTTTGAGATCTTCTTGAGCCATTTTGTTCTGTTCGCACCCGTTAAGTACGAGGAGGGGAACCTTGGACTCCCAGGTCGCTCGGTTGTGATGCTGTATGTGGGGGCGTGGTCAGAGCGGGAAAATGTCGGCCCCCTCTGCTGTTTTGCCCCGCTGGGTGAGGAGCAGAGCCTCAGGTTGTTCACCAGGGCAGGGCCACTTAGGTCGCTGGGTTATGACGCTGTATGTGGAGGCGGGGTCAGAGCGGGGAAATGGCTGCGCCCTCTGCTGCTGCTCGCCACTGGGGCCTGCTGGGTCCCATCCAATCGCCCACTCCCTCACTTGTCTATCCACACACGGATGCGAGACCACAGTCAACCCGCAGCCCTGCTCCCTCGCTGGTTCCCCATGGTCACTCGCTGAGTTGCCCACCAGGTCCAACCCTGTGCCTGGATTCTGCGTGCCTGAGTCTGTCTGATGGAGTTTTCCTATGCAACGCTGCTCCACCAACTGCTGGTTTCGCCCCTCTTACCAGTCAGGCTGAAGAATTTGTTGTTATCAGACTTCTGAAAAGTTCAATTTTCTGTGTTCTGACTGTGTTTTCTGTTGCTAATATTTAGTTGACTCTAAACTTGGTTGTGTGAGGAAGCATGGCGTCTCCACCTATAATACAGTGTTTTTTGAATGCCTTTCATTTCTGGGACATACCCCACTCAGTCACGATATGGTATCTTTTTTATGTATCACTGGACTCAGTTTGCTATTATTTTCTTAAGGATTTTTGCATGTATGTTTATGCACTGGCCTCAAAATAAGTTGGATATTGTTCCCTTCTTTATTCTAAAGGAGTTTGTGTAGAAATTATGTTATTTATTCTTAATGTTTGCTATATTTCATTAATAAGTACATTCGGATCCAGAGTTTTTTGCACAGAAGATTTTAAAATTACAGATTCAATATCCTATTTCTTCCTGGACTAGATTTGGTCATTTATATCAGTTTCATTATGTTGTCAAATTTATTGGCATAAGTTACTTATAATATCCCCTTACTATACTTTTGGTATATTTAGGATTAGTGGTGATATCACCTCTGTAATTCCTGATATTGGTATTTTCAGTCTTCTCTTTTTTCTTTACTAATTTAACTAGAAATTTATCAATCCTATTGATGTCCTTAAAAAACAAATTAGGCTTTATTAATTTTATTTTTCATGTTCTATTTGAACTATTTTTTTCATTTTCTCCTTTTTATTTTAGGTTTAATGTACTCTTGTTTTCTACTTTCTTAAGGTAGAAGCATAGATTATTAATTTAATTTCATGTGGTCAGAGAACCTACTCTAAGATTTCAGTGTTCCAGAATCTGTTGAGTCTTATTTTATGTTCCTGTAGTTAGTCTCTTGGGGGGTGGTGACTCATGTACCCTTGAAAATAATTTGTATTGTATAATTTTAGCAATTTTTTGTTTGTTTGTTTGTTTTTTATTGAGGTCAAGTTCATGTAACATAAAATTAAGCATTTGAAAGTAAACAGTTCAGTGACATTTAGTGCGTTACAGTGTTTTGCAACCATTACCTCTCTGGTTCCAAAACGTTTTTATCACCCCAAAAGTAAGCTCCATACCCATTAAGCAGTTGCTACCAATTTTTCCCAACCCCCATCCCCTGGCTTCCACCAATCTGCATTCTGTCTCTGGATTTACCTATTCTGGATACTTTACATTAGTGAAATCATGCAATGTGTTACCTTCTGTGTATTGCTTCTTTGACTTAATCTTTCAAGGTTAATCCACATTGTAACATGTATCAGTATTTCATTCTTTTTATGTCTGAATAATATGCCATTGTGTATATATATATGTGTGTGTGTGTGTATGTATATATATATATATATATACACATATATATATATATACCACAGTTTGCTCTTCTTTTTGACCTTTGATGGATTTGTGATGTTTCCACCTTTTGAGAATATCGCTGTTAATGAACAAGTAGTTATTCATTTCTTTGGGTATATACCTAGTAGAATTGCTGGTTCATATGTAACTTTTTGAAGAGCCAGCAACTATTTTCTAAAAGGCCTATTTTTTTATCAGATTTGTTTGTCTTTTTTTGTTGAGTTGTAAGAGTTCTTTATATATTTCAGGTACTAGAACCTTAGCAGATGTCTGATTTGCTGATATGTTTGCCTATTCTGTAGCTTGTCTTATTACTTTCTTGATGATATATTTAATTCACAAAAGTTTTTAAATTTTGATGAAGACAACTTTATCCATTTTTTAAAAACTTTGTTGCTCATGCTTTTGGTATCATATCTAAGAATCTTTTGCCAACCCTGACCCATGTGTCTCCATTGGTTGGAGCATTGTCCCATAATCAAAGGTTTGCAGGTTCGATTCCCAGTCAGGGCAAATACCAAGGTTACATATGGGTTTGGTCCCTGATTCAGATGTGTACTATTCCTGGTCCAAGCAGATGCCCAGTACGGACATGCACAGAGGGCAACTAATCAGTGCATTGATGTTTCTCTTTCTCCCTTCCTCTCTCTCTCTAAAAATACCATATAATTTCATTTATATGTGGAATCTAATGAACAAACTGAGCTAACAAGCAAAATAGAGGGCAGGCTGAGAGCTGTGTGGGCAGGGGGTTAAGAGGTAAAGGGCTTCAGCAAAAAGGAAAAAGAACTCATGGACATGGACAACACTGGTGATTGTGGGGAGTGGGAGTAAAAGGGGAATAAATGGTAATGGAAAATATACAATTAAAAATTAAGCAATGAAAAATATTTTCAGGTGAGGATACAAAAAAAAAAAGAATCCATTGCCAAATTCAGGGTCATGATTTATCCCTGTTATCTTCTCAGGGTATTATGGCTTTGGCTCCTAAATTTGGTCATTTATCAATTTTGAGTAATTTTTATATGTGGTATGAGGTAAGGGTTCAACTTCATTTTTGTTTTGCATGTGGGTGTTATTTGTTCCATCGTCATTTGTTGAAGACCCTGTGGGGTTTTTTTCCATTGAATAGTCTTAGTTCCCTTTTCAATTACTTAACCATAAATATAGTTTTTTTGGACTCTCACTTTTACACTATTCTGTATTTCTATCTATACCAGTACTATACTGTTTTATTACTGTACCTTTGTAGAAAGTTTTAAAATCAGGAAGTGTGAATTCTCCAATTCTCTTCTTCTTTGTCAAAATTGTTTTAACTGTTCAGATCCCTTGTGATTCCATATGAATTAGAGAATTGGCTTTTTCATTTCTGCAAAAGAGGCCATGGGACTTTTGATAGAGATTGCATTCAATCTATAGATTGTTTTGCTTGTTATTGCCACCGTAACAGTATTGTCTTCATTATTGAATGAAGGATGACTTTTTAAATTACTTTTATACTGTTTTTGCATTTTCTATTCTTTAAATATCAGTTGAGTCAATGTGGTTGATAATGTCTTTGAGATCTGCTTTCTTACATAATTTTTGTGTAGTCGTAGCAATAAATGATAGCAGGTTTGTCTATTTCTCCCTTTTTATAGGATTTGAATCTGTATTAAGCAATTTATATTTATTGTATCTTCCTGATATGTTGACTCATGTCTTTACAAAGTGGTTTTCTGGTTCCAATACTGTTCTTTGAATTGGAACCTATTTTATCTGACTTTAATATAGTGATTTTAGCCTTCATTTCATTAGCATTTAAATGGAATGTCTTTTTACTCTCTCCTATTTGCAACTTTATACTTCAAGTGTCTTTTACATACAGTATAGAGTTGGTTTTTTGTTTTGTTTTATTTTATTTTTACTGCTTTACCCAGCCTGATTGGAGTATCTGGTTGTTTTAAGGGCTTGGCATGGTTAGATGCAGCTATGCCACACTGCTATTTATTTTTGATTTGTCCTATCTGTATTTTCTTTCTATCTGCTTCCTTTCCTGCTTTTTGTATAATATGAACAATTTTAGTGTTTTATTTTACTTCTTTTATTGCTTTTTATCTACAGCACTTTGAATCTTGTGTTTGTGTAGTTTCTTTAAGGACTACTATATGTATCTAGCTTATCAAAATGTGCCTAATGTTTCTATGAAACTTTAAGTACAATATCCCGGTCATGTTAGCAGAATAATTCTTCTTACCCACTCTCCATTATTATCAAATATATTACATGCATACACATTACAAACAAAAAATAGTGGGGTTTTTTTTGCCTTAAACAGTGATGTCTTTTGTTTAAAGAAAAAAGATAGTGCTTATTTACATATATACATACAAAAATATAATGGGTAAGATCTGAAGTTAGGATGTACCCATTCATTGCTGAATTTCCAAGAAAAGGATCACATCTGTATTGTGTCTAATGTTTTGACGACAGAACAATATTACAGTAAATATAGGGGATTCTTGGCTTATACCTGATCTAGAAATTCTTTGCTAGGCTGGTTTCCAGATGAAATGGGCACTCTAAGATCTCCATAGATCTCTGTCTTTTAGTAGTAACCCAGTCAGGGAGCCAAGCCTGAGAGAGCCTATGAACTGAATCAAGTTAACTACTATATACTGGATTATTTATTTATCACCCCAAATTAGATTAGATTACTTAAGGGAAATTCAAAGCAGATATAAATAGCTATGGAAGGAAAAAGAAATCAAGATAGTCTTAGTAGCTTTTTCCTCACCTTTATTGAGGTATAATTGACAAAGTGTCTATGTTGACATTTTAATTTTCATTAGAAATAATGAGAAAAATTAAGGAATAGAAACTGTACAACTGTGCATTAAAATGTGAGCATGGATAAAGTGACTTATTTATATTATGATTGCTGTTCAACATTTAAGTTGAATGAACTAACAGTACATGTTTAACCAAGAAAAGTCTCCAAAACAATGTTAACTGCAAAATAAGTTATATGAAGTTATAATAGAGTAACATAAATGTAAATTTTTTAAATTCTCAACAATTTATATATAGATAACAGATTATATATATATAAAATAGACATTTAACAACATTTATAGAAATATTATACAAGGTCTGTCCAGAAAAATCCAGTCATTGTTAATATAATGAAAACAGTTTGCCCAACACTGATGTAACCTGTCAGGCAAGGAGAGGGAGTGGACTGGAATGCGCATGTGTGAACTATGACGACTTCACTGTACTCGTCATTGGGGGTGGTAGATGCCGTTGAATGAGCATGTGTACTGTGTGCCCATTGCATTCAAAATGTCCAGGCAAGTAGAGTAACAAATCTGCATCAAATTTTGCATTAAGTTTTTGCATCTCTGCAAAAACTATTCAGATGATTCAGAAGGCTGTGGCTATGAGCAACCAGTGATTGGCAGCATATCACAGCAACATGCCCACTCGTGCATCACGTTTCATGCAGAGTTTTTGGTGAAACATCTAATCACCCAGGTGACTCTGCTCCCCTACAGCCCAGATTTGGTGTCCTGAGACTTCTGGGTTTTTCCAAAACTAAAATCACCTTTGAAAAGGAAGAGATTTCAGACCTTCAGTGAGATACAGGAAAATACCACAGCAACTGATGGTAAATGGGAGAGCGGTATAAGGTCCCAGAGTGCTTCTTTGAAGAGGACAAAGACATTATTGTTCTATGTACAATGTTTCTTGTATCTTGTATCTTATTCAGTAAATGTCTCTTTTTCATATTACATGACTGGATACCTTCTTGACAGACTTTGTATTCTAACTACAGGACAACTACAGGACTTACTATATTTTTTGTATAATAAGCCTTCAGCTATTTCATTAGTGTTTGGTTTTGTAAAAAATAGGAAAATCTGAAACAAATATAGGCAAAAAATATCTACTAACTGTCATTGATGGGCTTACTGTTAGGTATCTTTTGTTATGTATGCTGTATGTTTGAAATTTAAAGAAAGTTCAATTAGAGCTAAGAAAGTCCATTTGCAGGTGATAGGTATTGGAAATAATTATTACTCATTGCAGTCTGTGTGCCTTGCAGAAAAAAAATTTATTGCAAGTGAAATTGATATTTTTCCTCTCAATTCTTATCCTAGGTGCCAGCCTGTTACTGTGCTCCAGGCCACTATCACTCCAGTCAACCTCAGTATCGCCCAGTCCCTTCTGTCCATTACAATTCACATCTAAACCAACCACTGCTACAGCCTGCACAGCACACAGGTGAGCAGTATTTCTGTCATCAATTCTTAGCTCTTGGGCGTTGCTTTTTTTTTATCTTACTTTTTTTTCAGTCTTACTGTGAAGATACTGCCACACTTAATGTATCAGTAGTCTCAGATACAAGATACATGTGAATATGAAAACCAGTGATACTAAAAGAGTGGGCAAATCTTAGCACCTACTAGCAAATACCACACCGACAGGTTTATATGCTAAAAGGTTAGGATCCATGATGAAAAGATCGTACCAGCCTGAGCAGTGTGGTAAACAGCTTCCTGGTGCTGGCTGCCATTATAGTCAGGCCTTCTTTGCACCTGGTAATCCACCAGTGGTAACAACAAAAGACAGGCAAGACAAGTTAAAATGTCCCCTGAGCCTAAATTTGATTGAAAACTCTAGTGAAAATTTGTTGTCTCAGTATCAGTAGGAATGCTTTTAAAAGGAATGATGTTCTTAAAGATCTGTTTTTGTGTTTTCTTTGCCAGTCTGCTGGTTGTATTGTGAAAGGTATTTTTAAACCAAATGCAATCTAATACTGGGTATAACAAAATATTAAAACTCAAAAGATTGTTTTCCTTTTGTCCCTTTCAAATTTTCTTTAAACATTCAGTTCAAAAAATTGATCTCAATGCACAAAACTATCTTATTTTACTCAATTCATTTCTCTTAAGTGCTTCCCATCTAGATGTATACTTCTACCTAGATGTTTAATAAGGTATTTTTTTCTGCATTTCATAACTCCAGGTGTCGAAGTAAAATTTTTATTTTTGGGGGTGGGGACCTTATCAGCTACTTGTCACGCTTAGAGGCTCTCAGACCATGTCAGTGTAACTCCCCAAGGCCACATAATCTTCTGCCTCCACTTAGGCAGTTTGTTGCTCTTGATATTGTGTGGAACTCTTAAGGAGTACTGCAGTTTCAGGAAGAAGACTTCAGCGCTGGGCAGTCTGATGAGAAGTATTCTTACTTCTCATCACTTGCGCAATCTTCAGTGATCATTCTGATTTAGCACCTTCCTTTACAAGATAAGACTCTTACTTTTCATCCCTGCAGGGGAACTTCCAGGTCCTTAATCTGTTGCTCCCAGGAGCTGTCTTGTACTTAGTATGTAGGTTCTTCCTTTTTGTGTGTTACTGGCCCTGTATCGTATGTGTGCAGATGTTCTTCTAAAGGATTTTGAGTACAGGTATGGGTCCTTTTAGCCATCTTAGAATTTGCCCTGTCTCCAATATGACTCTAGTTTCAGGTTTTCCTGAAGTTTAATAATATATCCACTTATAATGCTATAATTTTGAAGGGCATCAAAAGTTCCTCTATACATAGAAACATTGGTTGTGATGCTGCTCGTTAGCTGTAATACATTACTGTTTTATTCTTATAGAAATCACTTTGAGTTTTCCTAGTACCTCAGTCACTAAACCTCAGTGCTGACTTTTCATATTGTTTTTAGTCTTGATTTTTTCTCTCAAAATTATAATACAGATTATAGCTAATACCATGATGATTAAAAATTATCTTCACATTCCCCACTCAAGTACCTTGTGTGTGACTAATTAACATAGTTCATTAATACACCCTATTAATAAGGTAGTCAAAGATCCTTTGTTCTGTGTTTGTGTGAGTTTATTAGTTTTGTTCTTTTTTATGACTAAATTTTTTTCAAATTGCCTGCAAAATTAAAACTTGTAGTTACGGGTCGGACCACTGTGTTTGTACAAATGTATCCCTGCAAAAAGGGGGGGGCACTTCTAATTGAAGGCCAAAATATGTGTGTGACAGATAGCATGTGTTTATCATCAGTCATATTTTAATTTGGGTTTTTTTCCTAATACTAGTTATGGTCAGAAGGAAGAAAACAATAAGTTAGACTGGATCTGGATAATACAGACACAGAGAGAGAATATGTCTGAATAAGTAGTTTTTGACATTGTATTTGACTCAGAGTCAGTCATAATATATACTACTTTATAACTGTAGTTTGTTCCAGTTATTTTTGTGTAGATTCTCTTAACTTATAGCTTAAGTTAGTTGAATCTCATTTAGTTTGAAGACAAAAGGTGAAATAAATCCTCAAAGCATCCTTGTCTGAAAGAGAAAAATTTTGTTATGCTAATAAGTACAATAGAAGTTTCCCTTGAAAGAAAAGTTCAGTAGTGCCAATGCCAGGTATTGTGTTGGTAATCATATTGAACCTTTTTATAGAATTTATAGTATTTGAATATTTTTAAAAAGTTACCGAAAGACTTTTGTAGTAAGCTCATAGTTATTTTTTATGTCAAAGCTTACAGAAAATGTACATTTACATTTGTGGGTGTCCTATTAGAAAAGTAAAATGCACTGAGAAATGAACAAACTGTGTTTTGTGTATGTTTGTTTGTTTTTATTGATTTGGGGGAAAGAATAAGAGGAAGAGAGTACGGTTTTATTTTTCTACTTATTTATACATTCATTGGTTGATCCTTATATGTGCCCTGACTGAGGTTTGAACCTACAACCTTGGCACTTCAGGAGGACACTAACCAAGTGGGCTACCCAGCCAGGGTGAAAGTTTTTTGTTTCTGATTCTTTTCGCAGATTTATACCAATTTCTGTCTCAGTAATTTACATCTTTATTTTAAAAAATCAGACTTTCACCGCAGCTGGTGTGGCTCAGTGAATTGAGTGCCAACCTGCAAACCAAAAGGTCACCAGTTTGATTCCTAGTCAGGGTACATACCTGGGTTACAGGTCAGATCTCCAGTAGGGGGCACACAAGAGGCAACCAACTGATATATCTCTCCCTCTTTTTCTCCCTCCCTTCCCCACTCTCTAAAAATAAATAAATCCTTTTCTAAAAATTTTGAAAATAAATAATCTGACTTTCTGGATTTCTTTTCTATATTTTCTCCTTATATTTCCCTACATTCTACCATCCCAATCTGATTAAAATTAGAAATAGTCACATCTTACATCTGTTTTCTTCAAACAACTTTTAGTTACTTGCATTTTCTTATTTATTTATTTGTTTGTTTATTTATTTATTTATTTTGCATAGAATGGTGAAACTAATTCAACCAAATAATGAAAGCATTGATAGATTTGGAACAATTTTTCTACACTAAGGCACAGATAAATAATTTTCAAAGTTTGTATATAACTCCAAAAAGTTTTTGCCATAAATTAGCAAATCCAATTGAATCAAGTATTCTGAAACCAGATAGGGTATGAACAGTAAAATATAGGATTTTCCTTTTTTTTTCCGTTTTGGGGAAAGAGAAAAAGGATGAAATGCTTTGCTCTTTTATCAAGTATGTGCCAGAGGACCACAATAGTTATTGGTCTCCTTGATGACCTCTGGTCTATTATGGGACATGAATGTACACATCTTTTGTTGTGAATGTGAAGCTGTCATGGTTATTCATAACAAGGTAAAGTCAACCTCTATCACAAAAGCAGAAGAAATTCTGGCTACATAAGGCTTTTCGGACAATGTAGCATATAATGTGAAAGAAAACAAAATAGGAGTCAAATCCTAACAGCCCTTATTTGTTATTAATTGGTTTTAGGTGTATCACTTAAAGTTTCCAGGTTTTTCAATTTACTTATTTTCCAAGTAAGGGAGTTTTACTCTGTTGTCTGTTGAAGCTTCTCTGTAGCCTAAAATTCCATGGTTCTGTGTCTGTCGTGTCATTTCTAGTTCAGGGAGGTGGGAATATCTGAGAATTGGTTTACAATAATGACTTACTATCAAGAACTGGAGTCATATAAACAACAGTTTCAAAAGATCTGATTACTTGCCAGTTGGAGTAATAAGGATTTGTTATCCTAACTCTTTATGATAAAATTTACAGCTCGGAGACTATAAAGTATACTAAATATAAGGAGCTTGGTATTCTCAGATTTATACCAATTTCTGCAGGTAGTGATTATAGCAAAGATTTTAGGTTTATGAGGCCCTGGCTGTTTTCTATGTAGCTGCTTTCATTCTTACTACTCTTTTGAAAAGTTTGCAGCTTCACCATATATGTTTAATATTTTGCAATAATTGGCCTTGTTCCTGAGCTGTTGGATTCGGGGCCGTAGCACTGTCTGAGAGGTTTACATTTCTCACAGTGAACCGGTCTCTTTTTCAGCTGCTTCCTGGCTTCTTTTTACTCAGGTTTCCACTGCTCTTTTTTTTTTTTCTTCCTTTTTCTTTTCTTTCTTTCTTTCTTTTTTTATGCTGTTTTAAGGTATTAATATTTGCTTATATTTTCCATCAATTATAATGCCTATTAATCATGCATCATACTCAGCAATAGGGATTTTAATTTAAATGACACCCTTGGCTTAATATAATTTACCTTTTAAAAATTTGTAGAAGCTATTGCTTTAATTTCTTTTCCAGAGCAGATTTGGATGGCAGATTCAGTTTGGTTTGGAGCTTTTAGAAGTTCAATGTCTTAATGATGCCAAACTCATTAGCAAAAGTCAAATATGTCTCTCTTTCTATTGCTACATAACTTTTTAGAATTGTTATGCATTAAACTATGCCATCAAATAAGACATCTAAAAGCATTTGAAGCTACTTGGTCTCTGACCAGTGATATAATTTTATTTTTTTTCTAAACGCTGATATTGTATGCATGTGGGAAGCAAAATGACTGTAAAACTAAACATGGTTTTACAATTGGTTGATAAATTCAGAGAATATCAGTACATTATATCTTCCATCTCAGCTTTTCAAATAACTCAGAACCATGTGTTTGCAAACTGATTTAAGTTTTGTTACCAGCAGACTCTGGTAGGGTCCTGATGAACCACACTGTAGGAGGAACATGTTAGGATAAACACTCTGTAAGATGCACAGAACATTGGCAGCATTGCAAGGTACAAATTTAAAGTAACTGGGATATAAAAGGCCCTGCTGGGTAATAAGGGGAGGGGTGTTAATGATAAAGGATTTAGTTATGTCAAATAGGGACTCTGGGAGCAAAGTCATTTTCCTTACTGACAACTTTTTGTGGGAGTAATAGGAATTT